CCCTGTTTTTATGATTGATTTTTGTAGAGTACATTATACTGATTCTAAATCATGTAAAAACAAAGGTCTGAAAACTTGAGGATAGTACTCTGATTTGATGTTAAAGTATAAAAATCCACATTAAAAAACGCTAATATTCCACCATCTTTTAAAAATATTTTAACACTGCTTTCAAAATTGAGGTAATTAATTTTATAACTAACGACCCGGTTTTTATTGTTGTTTTCATATTTTAAGATGTACATATATCGACTGAAGAATAGGGATTGGCCCAATTAAATGTACATACATCGACTGACAAATAGGGATTGACGTAAAAAAATGTACATATATCTACTGAAAAATAGGAATTGGCGCGATTAAATGTACATAATTTGGGTCAGGGTATGGTTGGGGCAGGAAATCAATAAGAAATGCAACAGAAGCATATAGCACGTTTAATAAACTTTAAAGATCGTTATACTCATGCCAGACCTCTTTTATTGGAAATGAATGTTCTTAATATATACCAGCAAAATGTTTTTAATGTTCTTTTATTTATGTACAAATGTAAGATAAACCTAACCCCTATATCCTTTCAAAATTTATATGCAATAAAACAAAAAAACAAATATGACTTAAGAAATGACAATCTTATTCATCAACATTATTCTCATACAAGTTTTGGAAGATCTCTTTTAAGATATCGCGGAGCTCTTCTGTGGAACAAAATAGTTTTGAAAAATTTTGATTTTTCCTAAAGTTGGAGTTTTCTTACTTTTAAAACTAAGTTGAAAAAAGTTATCTTGTCAGTTAATAATATCTTTAAGTTTTTTTGAATTTTATCATAACCGAGTATGACAAAGATGGCTAATATTAGCGTTTTTAATGTGGATTTTTATACTTTAACATCAAATTAGATTCAGTATAATGTACTCTATGAAAATCAATCATAAAAACAGGTAGGGGGAGGGAAGTTGAGTAGCGCCGAATATTTTTTGTCACGCAAACGCCCATTAATTGCACCACCACATCAGTCATCCTCTTTTGTCATATCAAGAGTTCAAAACGAAAATATTTTTACGAGGTTTAACAAAGATTTTAAAATGTTCTTAAATTATTAGTTAAAGACATTATATTTGGTTAACCAGCTTATTTACGTGACAGATGTGAGGATAAGTCTTACGGGATAAGATTACGTGACAGATGTGAGGATAAGTCTTCATAGAATAACTAACTATACTTAATTTAAATATAAGCGTTCTTCACAAAAGCTGCCCCCGTTCAAAGCTGCCCCCTTCTCCCCTATTGCGTGGTATTATACCACGTCTAAAGCAATGTAAACACATTTGTCCTAAAAAGGGCTCTAAACCTGTTCGGAAATGACTTAAAAAATCCCTTTGAGGGGTGATTCTATAAGTTACGGCAATCATTTTAAAACAAAAATTAAAATTTGTTAATTATGTCCGCGGGAAAAAATTGCATTTGAAGTTTTGCCTAATTTACTCTAAGAAACTTAATTTTTTAAATGCATTTCCACTGCTAAAAGTCAGTAAAAAAACCTTTTGTTTAGTCTTAAATGTTGCAATTATCTCTGAACAACATTAACCTATTGTTTAACTTTTTTTTCCTTTCAATTTTAAATTCAAATTTAAAGGCAACAAAATTGAAATATGTGAGCGCCAAATTTTTGCCGCTGAAATAATGTAAACAAATAAATTGCCGTTTCTGTTAAAAATTAATTTACCTTAGTCAAAAAATGCCTAATTCAGCAAAATATCATGGTGATTGCAAAAAATCTGTTTGCTTTTTGTGTTTGAAGAATAGTGATTGCATATTAACTCATTTTTTGATTGAAAGAGTCAAAAATATTTTTAAGTTCATATTAATTTCAATGATGAGAAAATTCCAAGAGGCATTTGCAATTCATGTAGGAGAAAACTACAACAACTTGATACTGTTAGTATTATTGGACAGATACCAGACTTGTATAATTTCAATTCGATTATAAGTACAAACAGTTTACAGCTGAAACATAGGTCTAAGTTCAAAAACAGTATGAATCTTTCTAATGTTGGAGTGAAAAGACTTGCATCAGCTCTAAACAACTAAATGGAAAAAAGAGCTGTAGAGGCAAACGTGAAGTGAAACTTGAAAACCTCTGGAAAAAATTAGCAGATTTTTTCAAGTCAAATGTTGTCATTTTGGACAAAGAAATGAAAAACCAAATTCAGCAAGAACTTGAATGCCTTAATCAACCAATTTTCGCAGCATAAGGGCTTATATCAGATCAATTAGTTAAACTAGGAGTTGATAGAGGTGGTTCATTCTTAAAAATTACCCTCAGCGTAATCGACACATATTTAAGGTAAAGTTATACTTAAGGATCATCATGTCTCCAATCAAGTTCTTCTTCACGGATGGTGGTGTAAAAATTACTAATTGTTGCTGCAGCAGAACGTATTCCTGAAATATAGGAAAATCTTAGAACGATATTAAGCCTCATACAAATTAAAGATGTGTCTTACATAATTTCATTTGATATGAAAGTAGCCAACATTTTAACAAACATTCATGCTGCTAGTATATCAAAATTTTACAAATACGTGATCATAATATAAACTGATTCGTTTACAATGTATAAAATTAAATATCGCACATATAATAGGAACTTTTTTTCAGTACAAATTTTAAATTTAGCACAAATAATAAATATAAAAAAGTAACGCTGTTAAAAGAACGCGGGAAACTTGCAGAAGACCATGTGGTCTTGTCATCAAGAAACCGCTTTTAGTTGCAATATTTTTGTATACTTAATTTGTTAAAAAAATTTAAGTTTAGCAAAGTATCTTAGTGGCATTAGAGTCACATATAAAATATAGTCTCATATTAGTGGTATTAGAGTCACATATAAAATATAGTCACATATTAGTGGCATTAGAGTCACATATAAAATATAGTCTCATATTAGTGGTATTAGAGTCACATATAAAATATAGTCACATATTAGTGGCAATAGAGTCACATATAAAATATAGTCTCATATTAGTGGTATTAGAGTCACATATAAAATATAGTCACATATTAGTGGCATTATAATGCCACTAATATGTGACTATATTTTATATGTGACTCTAATACCACTAATATGAGACTATATTTTATATGTGACTCTATTGCCACTAATATGTGACTATATTTTATATGTGACTCTAATACCACTAATATGAGACTATATTTTAAATGTGACTCTAATATTAGAGTCACATATAAAATATAGTCTCATATTAGTGGTATTAGAGTCACATATAAAATATAGTCACATATTAGTGGCAATAGAGTCACATAAAATATAGTCTCATATTAGTGGTATTAGAGTCACATATAAATATAGTCACATATTAGTGGCATTAGAGTCACATATAAAATATAGTCTCATATTAGTGGTATTAGAGTCACATATAAAATATAGTCACATATTAGTGGCAATAGAGTCACATATAAAATATAGTCTCATATTAGTGGTATTAGAGTCACATATAAAATATAGTCACATATTAGTGGCAATAGAGTCACATATAAAATATAGTCTCATATTAGTGGTATTAGAGTCACATATAAAATATAGTCTCATATTAGTGGTATTAGAGTCACATATAAAAAGCTATTAGATAATCAAATAGAGAAAAGAGCTGCGATTGATACACATAAATATATAATGACATGACTTGTTATACTTAATATATTAATAGACATTTACACTTGCGTTGAAGTTAATTCTTAAGTTTTTTTTTTTTTTTTTTTTAATTTATTTATTAGTTTCAATAAACGTTCGTAAAATTGTTTGTCAAGAACAAGTTTTTTTAATAATATTATAAATATTATATATTATTTTATAAAAGAATTTGCGTAATGTAATTTTGTAACTATAGTATTTTTAAAAATTAGTATGTTGTAGAGGTAAGGGCCGCGATACGAAATAGAGAAATGCGATAGTTTTGTTTTTTTATTTGGTACATTAAAGTTTCCTGTTCCTCGAGTATTATATCTATTTTTATTGAATTTAAAAAACTCTTTTGAAAAATGTAATGGAGAAGTCCAAATTTATATTTAAGCATTTAGTGCATTAAGATGTTTTAGCAAAGATTCAGGATGAGTACACTTATCTTTATTAAATACTATTCTTGCAGCATGTTTTTGATGTCGGTAGAGTGCCATTAGGTTGGATCTATGGGTACTTGCCCATGCTATATTACCATACCTTAAAATGCAATGTTAATTATGTCACACTTAAAATACTCTGTATCATGACTCTAAACTGCTAAAATGATTCTTTGAGTTACCTTTACCTAAACTGTGTAACAAGCTTATATGCGGTATATTAATTTAAAGACACACTATGTAATATAGAGTTCAAAATTGGTCAAAAGAAAACAGACTGAAAATGTTAAAAAAAAAAAAATCTCAAACATATAAAAAAGCAGAAAAACATGAAATATAGGTTTTAATGGTAATGGTCTATGCTGATGATTCAAAACCTATAAAGATAGTGAATATGCAGCGAAGCGTAAAGAACTAGTTAAGTCAAGCTAATAACTAGTTTATGAAAAAGGTGTGAAAAACATACATAGAGCGATTGAGTCTATACTTACATCTAGATATAAAACAACCAGTGGGGTAATATGGATATATGATAAGTAATGTTAAAAAAGAATAGTTATTTAAAATATATTTACATTCTATTCATTGCGAATTTTTATTGTATACACCCTGAATGTTTAAAAAAAAAGAAATCATTATAAGGTGGTTAACTAAGAAAAAAATTTACATAAAAATAAAATATTCATATAATAATTTTATCCTTATTACTTTGTCAGGGTTTAAACGGATTAAAGATAAAAAATTTCAAAGGTTTTTTTTAAAACAAAACAAAATAAAAAAAAATAACATCAGGTATCTGAAAAACCAAACTATTATGTTTTAAATATATTATTTTTAATAACTGAAAAAAAAAAAAAGTGAAAAGTGATTTTTTTTTTTTTTCAAAAAAAAAGTACAATTTTCCCTGAATAATGTTAAAGTATTAAGGTTCAAAAAATATTAAACCGTCGCACTCTTAAAGTACTTAATAAGACAGAGTGATTCATCAAGAAGTTCGTCACATTCAGACCAAGTATTTTTTATCATATCCAACAAATCTGCGGCCGTTGTTCTTAACTGTTCAGTACTAATTATAAGGTCACCATGAAGCTGAATAAGAAAAATATTTTTAATACAATTTACAAATAAACATTTAAAAATAAAATTCTTAAAACAAATTATTAAAAATCATACCTTTAAAAACAATGCAATATACGCTTGAACTATCTCATAGTCTTTTCCTAATTTCAAAGCATGTTCTAATACTCTGATTTGACATGTTAATAGGTCTACATCACCTCCAAGCTCTGGTGAGAGCGTTCGAAATTGTATATCTGTTTCTGATGGCGTTAACAATTTCAATTTTTCAATTACTTCATTGACTAAAAATAGTATGGCCGTATTATTTCAGTGATAAAAAATATGAGAAACCAAGAAGCAAAAAACTTACCTTTGTGTGCATCAGGGAATTTTTCGAATTCGCGAAGTGACTTTTGTAAAGAAGTTTCTTCGTGGAACTTTTTAACTACAGTCAGGCGACTTTCTGAAGTCTAAAAAGTAAAAGAAAAGTTAAAGAAACCGTTAAATAAAATAAAGAAAAGTTAAATAAAATCCTTTTATTATAAATGATATATAAAAATGAATACATTTTCATGGCCGCCAGTTAATCCTTTACTTTTGTCAAAAGTGAGTTCTAAACCAGCAACTGTGGGTAAAAAAAAAGGTGCAGCTTCAGGTTTCTTTGGAGGTTCCTTTGGTTTATTACGACTCTAAAGAAAATTTTAAATACTTTTAATTTCTTACAACAATCATAAGTTAATTATAAGCTAATTTTAAATAACCAATCATAATTAATAATAAAATAAATAATAATTAATATCATAACAAATCATAAACAAATTTTTTAATTATTAAAGCAAATCAATTTTAATTAATTATATATTAAATATTAAATGAAATAGAAATTAAGTAGAATGAAATAGAAAACAGTAGAATGAAATAAAAATAGTAGAAGTAGCAATAACATCAATAATAACAAAACTAATAATACAATAATTAATTTATTATTATATGTTTAACTTTTAATGTTCTTTTTTAAAATTAATAATGATTATACTTAACAGACAAAACATATAATCATAAATTTTCATACTTTTATCAATTCTAAACTTGTCAGGCATTTCCATTTTGAGTCAGGTAGTAAAGACAAAGTTATGACATAATCTCCTAACTGATCTGGAGATATATATTTTTCGACATTGCTTGTGATTTCTTTTTCTTCAAGTGGCTCTTCTAAATTTTCTGTTGGATCTGTAAGATTGTAAAGAAAAATAAATACATTGAACAAGAAAAACAGTAAACAAAATTTGAATGAACTCAACAAATCAAAAAACTTAATTTTATTATTTAGAATTAGTATAGTCTAACTAACAAAAATAAAAAAATAATGAAACAAATATAATTAACATTTCTTGCACAACTTGTAGTTGTGCAAAAAATGCAAAAAGATTTAGTTGAAAACAACCAAGTTGTCCAACTTTAAAAACAAACCAATGGAACAAGTTAAAAACAAATCAAGTTTAGCTGAAAAATTAAGTCAATGTGACAAGTTATTGTGACAAGGCACTCAAATCTTTCTACAATTCTACAACTATAGAGAGATCTATCAAACGATAATAAAAAAAAGTGGAAAAACACTGCACCCAGACGTTTTTTGCAATGACATTACTGGATTGGTTAATCAGTGCAGCTTTTCATGAAAAATGATATTAAACAGCCAAAAGAAAAGACTTTCACGAGATGTTCTCAAGTCTTTCATGACTCAGGTGTAAGAAACTGATGATCTTGTTGAGTTTTTATTTTCTTGAAAATGACACATTTTCAATTGGCTTTCACACTAGAAATGCACGCAAAACTTGAAAATGTTTTTATTTAGATTGGACTAACTGCAGCAAAATATATAGATCCATCATTAGTGTGAAACCTCTAGGAACGATTTTAGAAACCAAGCAATATAAAGAAAATTAGGGACACTAGAGAAGATTAGATCCAATGCATTAATTTGAAATCTGAAAGCTCTTAGTGTTAATTTAAAAAAAAAAGCCATAAGTTACAAAAGTTGTAAAAACCTCCTTCTGCTAGATTTTTCTAATATTCTTAAGTCATTTAGCCAATTATGAAATTCCAAAAGCCAAGTGCAAGAGTTGCATTTGAAAGTACAAACATGCTTTTTGATCATTTAATAATCATCCTTAATAAAAGTAACTCTTTGAAAGCTATTGACTGCTCAAACAAACCTAGCATCTACAGGCACCACTAACCCATGAAATAAAATTTAATAGAAACCAATGTAAACATACTTTAAATTCTACTAAAATTCTTATATTGGTATATCTATGTGATTGGGATTGAAAAGTCTAAAATAAGAGCCAGAATACACTTTCATATGAAATATGAAAGTGTATTCTGGCTCTTAATATGTATTTTGGCATTAATAAACAAATGCGTATTTTAGCATTAATAAACAAATAAATCAGTTGTGTAAAACATGTCTGTAAAACTCCAAAAAATAAAAGAAACAATTGCATCAAGTAAATTATCCATTTCAAATAGTTGGAACTGATTTCACTGTTGGAACTGATTTATTTCACTATAAAATTAGGACTTCTGATTTATTTCACTGAAGTAACCAGAATAATGATTTATTTCACTGAAATAACCAGAATAATGATTTATTTCACAGAAGAACTGATTTAATCAGAATAATATTAATCTGAATACTATCAATTGATTTCACTGTCATGTTTGATCGATGAAAAACATAAAAAAGTTGTTATTGGTAAACTAAAAGATAATACAACATTTCATCACAAAGTGTTATAAAGAAAAGCTTGCATCGCTAGAATTTAAAAAAACACAGTAGTGGTAGCATATACCTGCATATAAGAATACCTGCAATATCAACAACCAAATGGAGCAACACTAACTGAAAACAAAAGATAAGAATTAAGATGTCACTATGTCATACAATGAAAGCAACAACAATGAAATAAATGACACAAACACAAATTGTCAACAGATAAAATAAAAAATAAAATACAAATGATACTAAATCAACAAAGCAAATGTAATTACAACAAGATCAAGAAATACAGATCAGAAAGAACTTTTAGAAAACCTAAACACAATGATGACTATGAAGTCAATTTGTAAAAGAAGGCATAATAATTGTTACTCTAATAATTCACTTGGACATTAAATGATTAGAATTTAAAAATTACCCTAGAGAAAATGGGAATGGTTTACACACGAAATGTAAATAAACACTAACTGATTTTTAAATGAAAATTAGCTCCGAAGAAAGGTAAAACTAAAGAATGAGAGAATACAAGAGAAAACAATGTACTATAAGACCATATAACTTATTCAAATATGTGTACTTTATATAAATCTAATATAATAAACCTTATATACTTTATACTTTTTTCCCATTCCAATAAAACAACAGATTTTAAGTAAAAGACTTTTATGGATTCTTTTTTGCAACTCATTATAAAATGTTAAGTATTGGCTAATGATTTAAATTACCTATATAACACATATTATTTAGTAAAAAAACAACCAACTGTTGATTGTACAGATGTAAAGTTAAATTGGTAGAAAACCATCTCAAATTTTTTTTTAGTAAATATTATATTGTTATATCAATTATAACTATAAAACAGACAGTTATAAAAATAAGAATAAAAAATGTCAAAAAATAAAAAAACAAATTCACAAAAAAATTTAATAAGACCATTCCAGTTAAGATTTTTTAAAACAGCAAATCTTCTGTTTGTTCTATAAAATTAAAATTGTTATAGAACAAACAGAAGAATAGAAAAATGTAAATTAAATAAACCAAATAAAAAAGGAAAAATCAATCACTTAAATACATTTCATGAATGATCATGCACAGAAGTTGCGAATTTATTGATTTTATGCAGTTATTTTTATGAAAATAAACTGCTTGTGAGTATTTCAAGCGAAAATATATTAATATATATTTTTGATGAGAAATCAAATATTTCTAAACTGGAGTATAGCGTTTTGAAAATAATTATTTTTCAAACTATTGCAACATTAACAAGCAAAATATATATATATATATATATATATATATATATATATATATATATATATATATATATATATATATATATATATATATATATATTTCATTTATTCAGGTAGCCTAAAATATGATAAAAATATTTTAGGCTACCTGAATAAATTAGACTATTTATTCTTTTTTTTAAAATTGTTTATTAAATTTTATATATACGTTATACATGCTCTTTAAAAAAATAAAAGTGTGCATATTGTTTCAAGTCTTCTAACTGTTAAAACAAAAAAAACAAAAAACAAAAATTATGCACAGAAATGGGAATGTCCAAATATTAAGGAAATTACATAAAAAAAAAATAAAAATTTAAAGTTAAATTTACCATCTGTCTCCACGTGAGTTTTTGGCAATGATAACAATATTGGTTCATAATTATTTGGAAGCGGAGAAGGATGAACTCCAGAATATGTCACTTTATTAGACCTAAATGTAGAGGATACTTTATTAGAACTAAATACTAAACTATGCTACTTAATTACATAATACCATATAAAGTACTGTTACAAAGTTGTTTATATTTTAATTATACAAAGTTTTTTATTTTAATTTTGCCAGGTTTAATAAACAATAACCGAGGTTGCCTAAATCTTGACAAGCCCTATAAATGAAATAAATATTTCATCTTGGATTAAAATTCATATTATGTTTATAAATACATGCATATATATATACACACACATACACGCATATATAGATATGTGTGTGTGTTGTAATAGAAGTATTGATTAGCCAGGGTAAGAGTTGTAAAAAACCCCATATTTGGCCTGGGCCCAGTCACTTCCTACACTTACTATCATCAGACATCAAGCTAGCTATGGAATAAAATCATGGCGTCAAACTAGCAGCAATGACAATAAAGAAATGGCTGCTGAAAGCTGGTTTACCAGATTGTGTTAGCATCAAAAGTCTCTTTTTCCTGGTGCACATCGCAGGAGTTTTATGGTTATGGTTTTATGGAGTAATGAAAATTCCTTCCAAGTCTTTGGTAGAGCTAAAAAAGCAATTGAAAGGCGTCAAAAGTAGGAAAAATATAGAAAATATAACATACCAACAGTCAAGTATGGTTCTGGGTCATTGATGGCATGGAGTCACCTCTACAGGTGTGTAAATTCCATGGATCAATACCAGTAAATTAGAGGACTGAAGGAACATATGATGCTGTCTACAAAAAAGCTTTTTGGTGTAAACCCTGATTTTATATATCAACAAGACAGCTCTCCATGCTACAAAGCAAGGTTAGTGATAGCATGCCTTAAAGAGTCAGACATGTCACTATTGGATTTGCCACCACAGAGCCCTGATATGAATCCCATAGAACATTTATGGGAAATTTCATTCCACAAGATCAGGGAACAAAGCCTGGTTTCAAAGATGAACTTTGGGCTACTCTACAGAAGGCCTGGAGGGAAATTGCACTGCCTACCATACAAGCTTTCAAGTCAATGCCATGACATATGAAGGCAGACATTGATATTATAAGATCAAAAAATATTGACATTGTTGAATACTTTTATGCAAAAAATTATAAATTTACAATATTTTAAACAATTATTTAATTAAATAAAAGTTTGCAACTAAAAAATGATTAAAAACTGTAGTTTTTATCTTTTTTATTGCTGTATGAGAAACTTAATAATATCAACTTTAGCTTAGTTAACAAATATTTACTAGTTTTTCTAAACTTAATAGCTTACAGCGGTTTTAGAAAAAGAATAAAAAAAGAAGAATAATGAAAGAAAAGATTCCTAGCATTAATCTGTTTTGCAAATTAGATTTAAGTACTTTAATTAGGAAACAACCACTAAAAGATTACATTTAAGGTTTACAAGCTCATCCTATCCTACCTACAATTCAATTAGGTCATGTCAAACTCTTAGTAAGTAAGATGTCTTTATAAGTTTTTAAATAATATTAGGCCTAACCCGTAAGGGTTAGTGTTACGGTCATCGAGCACAACTATTTACCAAATCTAAATTACTGTCACCGCATAAAAAGAATATTATCTCTGGATGATGCCTGGACTAGCTTTTTAGTCATAAGTCAGTTATAAATCCATGCATAGGTGTTTATTCTATCATGGTTTTCTGAAGTATGGCTGGGCTGTCTTGGTTTAGTTCAGAGATAAATCTTTAGTTTTTTAGTCGTTTTGAGAATATACAAGTTTATGTACGAAACAAAATATTTTTGTTTTACGGACATACATGGAAACATAAAAAACTTGAATGTTCTCAAAACATCTTTGTGCGAAAGAATAAAAAGAATCTTTGCGAACACTAAAAACCCGCCAAATTAACGAACAAACTAATACTATTAGTTCAAAAAATACGCTGATTAGGCAAAATAAAGTTCTAGAGTATTCTGTTGAAATCAGTCGGCAGTCGGCAAGTCGGCAAATTTTGGAAAACAAGGACCTTTTTTTTTTTTTTGTAGTTGTAATAGCACCCCCCCCCATGTGACACCTACTGAATATATATTATTTGTTTACGAAAATAAATGTTTTAAATAAATATTAATTAAATTGTTAAAATTTTAAAAGTTTATTATAAATTATAGATTTTATTAGTATATTCTTATTTTTAATTTGAAAAGTATGTATTCTTTAAGTAAATTTAATTTTGTGTATTTGTTTTTTATGGTAATGTATCTTTTAAAGCAATTTTTATGATTTAAACAAAGACTTACAAAAATAATTGCGTTTTCAATGAAGTTATAATCGTTAAAGTTAATAAAACTGATTATGTAATAAACATATAAAAAGTTTCTGGTTACTAAACACAAACAACACATACGAAGTAACTCGCGGATGAACAAGCACAGCGCCTGAGGTCTTGACAGAACACAAATATATATAGCAAATAATTAGATATAAAGAAAAGTTTCTAGATATTGGTTTACTAACTCTAATTATTTTCGCTTAAGTTGCCATTTTTAATACTTGTTATACTTTTTTCTGCTTTAAATACTAATTAAAATTAAAAAGCCCACGCACTAAACATCGTCAGCAATATTGTGAAGCAGTTTCGCTTCCCTGTTATAAAATATTTTTAACTTTTTTAGTTGATTTCTATCTACTACTATAGAAATTAAATTATCAAATTTAATTTCTATAGTAATTCAATGATTTAATTATTTCATTTGTTTATCTTACTAAGAAGAATCGCTTCAAATATGTTAAACTTTTCAAACTACGCGAAACATAAAATAGGTATTAAAAAATTAAATTTTTTTATTTATAAAACAATTTAGCTTAAATAAAACTTAAACTTGCAACCTTTGTTAATTAAAGTATATTGGTTTCCCTTTTAAACAATCGTAAGTTGTTACTTTATATAAAAAACATCGCTTAATTTTATAAAAAAATATATAAAAGAGCGATGTTTCGAAAACACTTGTTCTAAATGTAATTTATTTAGCTTTAATTTTTTTTTGCGTTTAAAGATATTATATTTGCCTAACTTTTTTTTTGCAATTGTCTCTCATCGGTCCAATTAATCTTTGTTGCATTTTTTTTTTTTGCTTTTTAAAATGTTCTCAAAACGACTAAAAAATCTGGTCAGCTTGTCGCAACTAAATATTATTTACGTGGTCAGCAATCAAGAGCGATCGCTCCCGCTTCCCGACCAAGCCTGCTTATATCATTGTTATATTACCCACAACTTATTTTTTAACCACTCATTTGACTTAAATTTATCTGGTTTTATTACAATATTTAGCTGGTCTTATTGCAGTACTTATTAATATATAATTTATCTGCTGATTTTCATATTATTACTGTTTACAAGGAACTTTTGTGTTATATTATCTTGCATTCATTGCTCAGCTTTGTTTTAATTTTTACATGCACAATTTTCATCTTTATGATTATTCAGAGAATATTTTTATATCCTTCACTAAATGAATACATATATGCCGCTTACATTTTTAAGGCTTTTGTGCAAAATTCTTTTTCGCTATCATATATTATTCAATTATTGTTATGATTTTCGGTTTCGTGGGTTGCTCATTTTCCTAAACTTTCGATTGGTTATCATATTTCGAATGAGGTATCTATGACAGCGTTAGAGTTTATTTAAGGCTTTTGTTGTTTTGTTGATAAATTTTTTTTTTCTTCTTTTTTTTGAGGTATACTGCTTTCTGATTATCTTGGGCTTGTTTATGCTAATAATAACTATTTGGTTTTATTTCTTAAAATAAATTTATTAATATTTTTATGTTTCTATTAGAATTTTATTTTGTTTTCATGTTTTCTTTTGGTGGTATGGAAAGTGTTTTATTTAGTTATTTTTATTTTTGTTTGTTCAGTAGATCTACACTTTTATATTATATCATCAAAAAAATATTGGTGCTTTATAAATTTGGGGTTGGTTGGGTTTTGGCTATTTGTAGTGAGTCCTTTTTTAGTATGGAATAGGTATAAGTCGCGGTGTAGAGTATAAGTGGGTATGACATTTGCCTGATGGGATAAACTAGTTATAAATGCTGATCCTCATCGAAACGCCAGTAATAATAGACGTGACTCTGAGGAGATGTTTATTACTTAATCACTACACAAATTGTTTGCACATTAGCATTAATGTTTTTTTTCCATTCTGAGGCCTTCCATTGTTGTTAGCATTCTTTTTATTTTGTGATAGGTTTTTTGTTTTATAAGTATTTTGTCTGGTGATATAATTGTTGTATATCTTTGTTCATATTAGTGTTTATAAAACAATTAAAATTTTTTTTTTTTTGTTATTGTTGTTGAGTACTGTTTTGGGTGTATAATTTGTCTTAATTATTTTTAAATATTCCTCTATTAATCTTTATTTTTGTCTTCACAACTGTCAAAATATGCTTTGTTTAATAAATAATTCTCATTTATTCTAATGTATTTCATTTCTTCCCTCAGGCGTTCACTGCTCGTGTGTGACCATTCAGCGAATTTTATATGCCAAAGTTTTTAAATATCACTAAAGACTAAAACCTTATTTGCATAAATATAAAATCAGTTTAATATCATGACCAGTATCCTAATAGAAGTAAACTTTTGTTAAAAATTATTCTTGCTGAATAACTTTTGCTATATATATATATATATATATATATATATATATATATATATATATATATATATATATATATATATATATATATATATATATATATATATATATATATATATATATATATATATATATATATATATATATATATATATATCATTTATTTATATGTTTATTAGTTCATTATATATTTATATATTGATTAGTGTTTTATAGTTTATTTATTTTATAGTTCATTATATATTTATATATTGGCCATAGATTAGTTCAATAGTTGCTTAATTTGTTTCTTCAAAGAAAAAGTTATTCCGTTGGAGAAAAATACCATTTCCTTTATAGTTAGGCAACCAAATATTATATAAATGTTGTAGAATTTTTGGTATCACAATAACCTTTGGCTTCAAGAAAGGAAGACAGAGAGTTATTACAAAAAGAAGCTGTTTGCATCAATAAAAACTAGTCCTTGGTTTTCTTGGATAAACAAACAATTGTGGAAAAAAAATAGAATGTCTATATCCAGATTTTGAACTTATTAAGTACAAATTATTATTTAGCCCATTTGTTTATCCCTTATGAGAAATATTAGAACTATTACCCCCTTTATTTTTAAAGAGCTTTTCTTCTTAAGTTATGAAAGAATTTTAAATGATTTTTTTGCCCTTTTCTACACAGTCATTATGATTTTTTTGTACAAAAATACCGATAAAGAAATAAATGAAAAACTTGTTTAGTGTTTTAATAAAAGGTATTATTGATTTTTCTTTGGATGTTAATTGTGAAATCATGGCATATATAATTGCTGCTTCCGCGAGAGAGTGCTTTTGTTGCTGGTATTTATCTGAGCTAGCTTTTAGAACCAGAATATAATATAAATCCTATGTATGGATGCTATATCCATCTTAGGTAATTTTTAGTATGACTGGGTTGCCTAGATATGTTTTGGGATTAGAAGTTTTCACGCTGATTTCTAGTAAAATAACTTTGTACAGATACGGTCACATACATAATTGCTGTTTCCGAGGGTGAGTGCTTTTGTTTCTGGTAAATATCTGAGCTAACTTTTATTTAAACTTTATTTAAACTTTATTTTATTTAAAATAAAGGCTTTATTAGACTTATTTATTATTGCCAAACCAAAGGCTTTATTGCAATTATTACAAATTTGATTGAATTTCACTTAACTAGCTGAATTTCAAAAGTGAACAATATAATAATATTGATACATCACAAGCAACAAACTTTTTCTTTACTAAGGCATCTAAAGAGCTGTAAGAGAATTAAAAAAAAGTAAAAAAAAGCTGCAAAGAAAAATGATAAATAAAGTCTAAACGGTTAAGTTTACCATTTTACACAGAGTTATCTATAGATAGTAAATAAGTTTTGAACAAGTTTATTATGAAATTTTTTTTTTAAAGTTTTAAAATTCAAATATATATTAAAAATATAGTTTCAAAAAATATCTTAGCCACATTTTGTGAAAGTTACTTTTATAGCCAATCATCTTTGTATTTAACATTGTACAGTTATTACAATAAGTTTTTTGACTTTTGGTAAGTATTTATAAAATTTATTTATAATTAAAAGTTATTTATAAAATTATATAAAAAAAAATTTACTCAGCAAAATGTTTTAAAAAAGAACTTTTGCAAGATAGTGTTAGGACGCGGTCTTTGTCAGTCATTATGAACTTGAGCATAAAAAAACAGATTTGTTCCCAGCTAGTTTGTTATAAAAGATGCTATCTTTTGTACCTTATACATTTAATTTTTGCTATAAATAAAATATATCAACTCTTGCACCTATTATGGACTTACAATTTTACAGCCTTTGCTTTCCTCGACAGAAAGCAAGAGCTTTAGCTCTCTCTCTCTTGCCCACACTCTTTTAAAGCGGTTTATGATATAAATTTACAGTTTTTCCAAAAGTACAATTTTTTTCATAATATAAAACATAAAACATAAAATATAAAACACTTTCTTTTCTTCTCTATTTTTATATATTGATTAGAAAAGTTTAAAATTCTTGTGCAAACTACAACAAATAAACATAAAACAAAGTTCCAGTTTCAGATTGTTGTTTTTTTATTACAAAATGCAATTGCTTAATTTTAGTAAAGTTCTATAAATCAATGGATATCTAGTATTAAAACCTAAAGAAAACCCTCGACTAAAGACTTTTTTTTTTGTAGCGCAATAAACAACGGTTATTATGTATATATTTTGTTAACATTAAAACTTGTACTATATAAGCAATTTATTTAATAAACAAACAGATAGTTTGCTAAAAAAGAGAAAGCTCTCATTAAATGCTGTTTAGAGGAGCAGCCTGCATGGCATTTACTTCCGCCGATGCATATATGTATATATATATATATATGTATATATATGTATATATATATATATATATATATATATATATATATATATATATATATATATATATATACATATATATATATATATATATATATATATATATATATATATATACATATATATATATACATATATATATATACATATATATATATATATACATATATATATATATACATATATATATATATATATATATATATATATATATATATATATATATATATATATATTAGGTTGACCGGAAAGTAATGTCGTTTTTGCGCATGTTGACATTCGATAATCGTTGGCCAGTTTATTGTGTATCTCGAACACGTGCACAGGTTATTTTTATATTAGTGTGGCTTGTTTACTTCTAAATTATTTAAAATTAAATAGTTTTTTTTGCAAATTGGAGTGAAATGGCATACGAAATACAGGAAGTGCATATTCGTCATTGTATGCTTTTTGAATTTCGCAAGGGTAATAACGCTACAGTTGCGACTAAGAACATTAGTGATGTTTACCCAGGTTCATTAGATGTTCGCAAATGCCAAAGATGGTTTTCCAAGTTTGGATCTGGGAATTTTGATCTTTCTGACGCCCATCGACCAGGAAGACCAATGTCATTAGACAACAACGTTCTAAGGGCAGAAGTTGAAGCAAATCCATGCCAAACCATCATAGAATTGTCGAACACCCTTAACCAACCTTGGTCGACCATCCAAGAACATTTACACCAGATAGGAAAAATCAGCAGAGCAGGTGTTTGGGTCCCCCATAACTTGTCAGTGCAAAACAAAGCCAACAGATCAACCACGTGCAATGCATTGATTCAACGGCACCATGCAGAACCGTTTCTTGATCGTTTGGTCACTGGAGATGAAAAATGGGTCCTATACGATAATCCAAAACGCATAAGGCAGTGGCTCTCCCCAAATGAACCAGCACGCAGTACTGCAAAGCCGGGATTACACCCCAAGAAGGCGCTCCTGTGTGTTTGGTGGAGCATCCGCGGAATTGTCCACTTTGAAGTGCTTATTCCTGGACAAACTGTTAATGCGGACCTTTATTGTCAACAATTGGATCAAGTGAACCAAGCTCTAGTTGAGAATTACCCGGCTATCGTCAACAGAAAAGGTGTCATTCTTCAACATGACAATGCAAGGCCGCACTGTGCACGACGGACGCTAGAAAAAATTAATGAATTGGGATGGGAGGTGCTGCCCCACCCTCCATTTTCACCTGATATCGCCTCTTCAGATTTTCATTTGTTCCGATCCTTACAGCACTTTCTAAGTGACAAAAAATTTCAAACTTTGTACTGCTTAAAAAATGGCATCTCCAGATATTTTGATGACAAACCAATACATTTTTTTCGATCTGGTATAGAAAGTTTGCCCGCTCGATGGCAAAAGGTTGTGGAAAATGAGGGTGATTATATCATTGATTAAAAATAAATATTATAAAAAAATTATTTGTTTTAATTTGACGTAAAAATACGACATTACTTTCCGGTCAACCTAATATATACATATATATATATATATATATATATATATACATATATATATATATATATATATATATATATACATATATATATATATATATATATATATATATATATATATATATATATATATATATATATATATATATATATATATATATATTTATATATATATATTTAAACAATTTCAAAAATGTATTCTATAAAATAGAGTGTTCTTAAAAGAACAGAGTAATTATAAATTAGTAGAAAATCACTTAACAAAAATTTTTTCATTTCACAGACTCATCAGAAATGATGAGTCTTTGTTGATGCTCTCTCTCTCTCTCTCTCTCTCTCTCTCTCTCTCTCTCTCTATATATATATATATATATATATATATATATATATATATATATATATATATATATATATATATATATATATATATATATATATATATATATATATATGACACACACACACACACTAGTATTTTTCAGCAGTATGTTTCAATTATAAGATATAGGTGGATTTTCATGTAAAATAAAAACAGTTTGTATTAGTTTATTTCAGTTTATTTAACTGCAAGGTTTTCATTTCTGTTTTGATTCGCGTAAATTTACCTTTAAAGTAAAGTAATAAAAACTGTTTTTATTTTAAAAGTATAATTAAAGCACAATGTGTTACAATTTAAAGATTTGCTTTTTACAACAAATTCATGGATCATAATTTAGCAAAAAGGTTTGCCATAGCACTTTCGTGTTTTAAGGCATCAATATAAGCTTTGTTTCAAAATACTGACTTCGAAAATTCGATTAACGGTCTAACAAATGAGTAGTTCATAAATGCGTTTTTAGTTTTAAAGAGTTTTTTTAGTTTTTAATAAATTAACAGTTTAAAGCTCTTGAAAAATTTGTTTACATACACACGCACACACTATATTAGATTTATACTTACATTACAATTACATACAGGCTATCTAAATATTATTTTATGTTATTATACATATTTTTTATATTATATATATATATATATATATATATATATATATATATATATATATATATATATATATATATATATATATATATATATATATATATATATATATATATGTATATATATTATAATTATAAATAGATTGTAAATATAGCTAAATTAATAGTAATTATAAATAAATAGTAATAATGATAACATAGTTACAAAATGAAAATTTTTTTTTACTAGAATATAAATTTACCACAAATATATTCCAACATCATCTTGATGAGTTGTGGCTAAAAACTCACTTGTTGGAGAAAAAGCAACACTACTTGCAGGTGTATCAACCATAAAACAATCAACCAACCTACAATAATAATTTTTAAAAAAAAACTAACTATTAAATTAAAATTACAAAACCATATAAACAAAAATGTGATTAACTAAACAACCTTGATGATGGTACATCCCATGTCCTAATTGTGCCATCCATTGAAGAAGACAATAACCATCTTGCATCAGAACTCCAACTCTATTAAATTATTTACCTGTAAATACACTACTTGCTTATGTTATAAAAAAGAAAAGAAAAGAATTATTATTGCTACGTTGCACATGAAAATAGTATCAAATATTAATTATTTTTATTGTGTTCATTAATTATGTTCAAAATTTAAAAAAAAATTTACCATGTCTGTTATAATATTTGAATGACCAACAAATGTTCTAACCATCTTCTTTGAATCAATATCAATAATTTGAATTGAGAAATCATCAAATGAAACAGCTAGTAATGAACTAAGAATATTGATAGAATTTTAAAAAGTTACTTATTTTAAATTTTTAGATTTTTTTTAAAATACAACTAAAGCTACATAAGTGTATAACAGATATATATATATATATATATATATATATATATATATATATATATATATTTAGTTATATTAGTTTATTTTTTTAATTTTTGTTACAATATTTATACATGAAGTAATGAAAATAAAGTTCTCATGAACATTTTTATGACGAAATTCTCACGAAGCCTTACCAATAACATTTTTCTGATAAAACTCTCATGAGCGCTAACCAATAATATTCTCCTGATAAAATTTTAAAGCTTTAGTCAAAACTGATTTTGAATCAATTTTAAGTCCAAAACTCTGTAACATTTTGAAGAAAAATATTCCATAAAGGAAAAATAGAGTAACAAAATTCAAATATGGTGAATATTTAGTTATAATGAATATATAAATATATAGAAAATTATAAAGTATATATACAGTTAAATTAATATTCCGTTTAAAGCTTTTATCATTTATTTATATAATACTATATTATGCCTAATATACAGTTAAACTAATATTGAGTTAAAATTTAAACAGTATTGTGTCTTAAAAATACAATTTTTTAAAATAGTCTTATTATCATGAAACTATTTAAATTGAATCCTTATTACAGGTAATTATAATTAATTATGTTAATTATAAATTAGAATTAACAAGATATCTTTTAAACCTATAGTCACTGATTGATGTACTGCTGATGAGTGAAAAAACAGTAGTTTGAATAAGCAATCAAATAAATACCAAAATAGATTATAAAAATACCAAAATAATTGGCAAGATTCTGAAAGCTTGTTTTTAACAACATTTTAAACAAAACAGTAACAATTTTTTTTTTTAAACATCTTTACTACCAACTTTTACAAGCAACAAGACTGCAAGCAACTACTAATAGAATTGGAAGTTACTGGATGAGAAAAGATAAAGTTTATAGAGCAAGATAACAATTGAGAGACCGCTTAAAAGATTGCAAATTATATGAATGGTAAGCAAGGTAGGCAAGATGAAGAAAAAAAAAATTCAAAAGAAATGATGTTCGAGGAAAAAACTGGACGAATGTGAATTTTTGGAGCACTTAGGAAAAGTGTTTTGAGTTTTATCTGAATTAAAATTCACAGAGAGTTACTAGAATTAAAAGTTTGAAAGCATAGTTATAAAGAGAGATTTAAAAAGTTAGGTTTACTATTGTTGGAGATTAGAAGATGAAGAGATGATCTGATAAAAAATTTTAAATATTTGAAAGGGTATGATATTATAAATTTTTACACAAAACTCAAAATGGTAGATAACAGCTATAAAACTAGAGGCCACAATAAAAAATGAACAATAGGCAATATACAGGAAATATAAAAAATTTTCACCAATAGAGTGGCAAACGACTGGAAGAATCTTAAACAAGAAACATTAGACGCAGTGAGTTTTAGTGTAAGTAAAATACAAAACTTTGAAAAATAAAATACAGCACAATGCTTTAAAATCTGTTTTAAGACTGATTTATTAGTAATTAATTTTAATGAAATACTTTTTTTTTCATTTTTATTTAAGAACTGTTTATTTTACTTCAAAAGTTAAATAATTGAACTTGAAAAAAATTTAAATTTTTTTAAAACAATTTTTACAATACTTTCAGACAATGAAAAATTTATATTATTACTGTTTTCCATATTGATACAAAGTTTTGATAATTTTTTTGAGAAAATAGAATTTTTATTAAAAATTCATTTTTCATTATTTATATCTGAAAATAATAATTAAATAAAAAAATCCCACTCCCTAAATCAAACAAAGATTCTTTTTCCTTACCTTTCTCTATGTAGTTTAGTTTGCATAATAGGATAATCAAAACTGATTGAACACAGTAAGTTACCATTTTTGAAATTCCAAAACTAAAAAAAGTTTACTGAAATGTGAAGTTGAATGTATAATAATTGAAAATAATAAACTACATAAATACATAAATTACCACTTACGCACATACAAACACACACAAATTAATTACCATATACTTAAGATTGCAATAAATGCTATCAAAGACATAATAAAATAGTGACTATTAAATTCTAAATAGGGTATCTATGTGTATGTAAAAGGCTCGAATTAACGTAAAAAAGAAAAAATTAGTCTCCTTCCCCTCATCCCTGGCATCGCTTTGCGATAAGGAGGGGAGGGGGGAAGTGTTGCATTAGTATAAAACTGTATCATTTGTACATGAGTTTGTAATTGTTATGTTTTTTAAAATCTTTCTTATTTAAATCTTATCTTATAATATTCTTGTTTGGTGGGGTTTAAAATAGTCTGTTACTGTTATAATTTACAGCTTAAGATAAAATTTAAAGTTTAAATTGCAGTTATAGTGTATTGAGAAAGTTATGATGTAATGAGCAAGTAACGTATTTAATACTATAAAGGTATTACTTTTAGTAATTGTTTTTACTTAATACTTAAATAAGTAAAAGTAAAAAAATAAAAGGAAAAACACATTATATTTAAACCATTTAAAATAGTAAGAAATTAGTTAGTAAGAAAACTATTTAATATGTTCATGCTGACAATAAAACATGTGTTATTTTCAAAGAGTATTGAATTGTTATTGTAAAAACCTTTAAAACAACAGTAAAACAAACTACAAAGTTGTTTTGACATTATAATGAATTTGTTTTAATGTAAAACAACTTGGTGACGCTATATTATTGCTGTTTTATACAGTTTATAACATTAATAGAAAAAAACGTGTTTAAAATAAAACAAAGTAAATAAATAGAATTGTTGTTTTAATAAATTAAAACATCATCATACAACTTTAAACTTAATATTTGTACAAAAACATGCCTCTAGACCAGGAAAGTCTATAATCTATAGACCAAACCAGTAAGATCGAAGCAAAAAAACATTAGATACCACACTTTTTATAATTTATTGTTTCTTGGTCTAGTGTACTATTAAAAGTTTAAGTATAATTAATTTTTTCATTTAAATGGTTTTTAAGTTGATGTTTTCATTCAATTTTTTCATTTAAATTATTTTGCAATAAAAAGTGAAAGAAAAAAATTTGGTTTAATAAATCGAATTATATTTCCTTATTAATGAAAAGAAATTTGAACAGCTTTTAAACATTCAATTTGAACAGAAGTAAAAACAACTTATTTTTTTTAATTTAAATTTTTTATGATTTATTTTTTGGTTTAACATTTGCAATAATCACTGGTTAAATGCTTAAAATAGAATGTTTCTACTTTTAAAATAGAACATTTCTACAATTTTAATTTTAAACATTTTGAGTAGTTAACCTTTTTTATTTCTTGAAAAGTAGTTTTAACTACTCAAAATGTTTACAATTTAAATAAAACTTTCTTTCTTAATTACAATACGTTCTAAATTTGATTTTGTTACCGTAGCTAGCTACAGTATATATACATTAAACCTTTCAGAAATGATCCTTGCTCTGCCAATGAGTATTTACTGTCGCCGGTACAATTAAATTTATAATTATTGAATGTTAAAATTCTTTAAAATTTTTCAAATTTTTTTAATTATAAATTTCAATCGCAAATTTTTTTGAATAAGAGAATTTTAGAAGACTAAAATTCTTTTGTTCAAAAAGATTTTTTTAAAAAGATAAATCTTAAAAACAACTTGCGTTTTCATAGAGTTTAAACTTGATTTTGCTTGTTAAAATAATTTTTAGGTAAAAGCTTTTTATGTGTTAACAACATATATGATATAAATAGAAACATTTGCATGACTAACTTCTTATAAGTCTTTGAGTAAGTTAGTGTAGTAACTTAACTGGTTGTTTGGATTTAGTTTATAGGGTAAATTTAATATGATGTACTTTATCCATTCATTAAGTCAAACTAAATATAATTATAAAATATTATTGGCTTTCACGCAGAGATTCAAAGTAATTTAAATTCAAAAGCACCTTATGTTAAATGAAAATTTCAGTGCAAGAGAACGAATGATTATACTTCTATTCAAAAGATAAATTTAGCGCGACATACTTTATGACCCCTTATATACTTTATGAAAATTTATACAAAAACACTATTTTTAAAAATGACCAAAAAATGTCTAATTAGAAAAAAAAAAATCAAACAAAAAAATTGTGAAAATATTTTTTTAAGAAAAAACTAACTGCAAAGGTGTGAAAAGCAATTTTGAAATACTTAATTCGAGCCCTGATGTATTTATGTAAGTATGTAAGTATGTATGTATGTATGTATGTATGTATGTATGTATGTATGTATGTATGTATGTATGTATGTATGTATGTATGTATGTATGTATGTATGTATGTATGTATGTATGTATAGACACATGCACACATAAAAGAATTAAGGTCAGAAAATTAAAATAGGCAGGGAATAGATGGACTTGGTTTGGCAGACAGCATATACATTTTTTAAATAGTTTTTAAAAATTGTCACACAACCAAGTCATAGATTGCAGAAATTTTAAAATTTATTATTGATTGTTAGCAACAGAAAATAGAACCTCAAACCTTCATAGCTTTATCTGCAGCAGCTGAAATCATCATCATGTTTGCATTATCTATACAAACCCCTCTTACAGTGGAAGTATGACCTATCAATATAAATTATTACAGAATGGTTAAAAATTATATTAATTATATTAAACTTTAACATAAAATGTGAGCAAAATTGAAACCTTATAAACAGCGAAATGGACATAGATAAAAATCAAGAGGTTAAAAAAAAAATTACAAAAACATTTTTTTGGAAATGACTTACCTCCTACATATCAGAGACCACAAGGAATTTCCATACCATTCCAAATTATACTTTAATGATGGTAATGGTGCCATTTAAAAATATATTAAGCAGTTTTTTCATTAAAAAATTTAGTTTAATTTTAGGGCCAAAAAATTGTAAAATTGAATTAATCTTTTAGTTTGTTGGCTACCCTAGCCAAAAAAAAAAATCTGTTGGCTACCCTAGCCAAAAAAAAATAAATATGTTGGCTACCCTAGCCAAAAAGTCCTATAGGACCTATAGAATTTTAAAAAAAGACAAAACTTTTAACTAAAAACACTTTTTTAACTTATGTGTTTTAATTTAATGGGGTTCAAATATGAAATTTTTTTGTTCCAAATTCTTATAGAACCCTATAAGACTTTTTTAATAAGGGTAGTTGCTGAAATTAAATGCCTATGAGATAGAATCGTCAATTTATCTTTAGATAATTTTATATTTAGTTTCAAAAAAAAAATAGTAAAAAAAAAATTCATAAATTTAATACTAATACAAGTTGTTTATGTTTGAAAAATTTTAACAAGGGTTGTTTATATGGATTGCCGGTGTTCAGATAAGATCAAAGAATGCATTAGGGAGCACTTTGCTTCATATTTACTGACCAAATTTAATGAAATCCTCATGAAGTGTGGTCTGAAAACTCTCCAAAAGTAAAGTGTACAGAAATGGTTGGGAAGCAAAGTACTTGCCAAAACTCCAGCAAAACAAAACTGTGTGAATTTAGTTATTTCACTATGAGCAACCTAATGGGGGATATTCATGGAAAATTATCTTGCCATATCTTTTTAAATTTTAGAAATAAAAATTCATTAAATTGATGTACTTATGTGCCTATAGCATTTTTTAATAAAAAGTAATTGTTTAAAATTTTTACTGCTCACACCTTGAAATGAAACAATGAAATCACAAAATGAAATCTAGCAATGAAAATAAAATTACCATTACACAACTTTTTTCCATATTTTAGCCTTTTAATGCCAGATTGTAAATTAAACTTTTCGATATTTCCATTTTTGTAACCAATCACTGTAAAGTTACCACAACTACTTATATCGCAACACTAAAAAAAAATCCTAAATATTTTATTAACAATTTCTTAATACTTAACAATTTTTTAATACTTTTTTAGATTTTTAATGTGCCAAAAATTTCACAAAAAAATCCTAAACTCAAAATCTAAGCATAATGGAATGCCTAAGAACTTAAAAACTATTTGTAATCCAAAAGGAAAATATTGTTTATTAAAAAGTTTTGAAAAATTAAATTTATAGATATAATAAAGTTTCAAAAATTTATAGCTTTTTTTTTAGAAATTTTATAAAAAATATACATAAAAAATGCCCTAAAATCTGTAACTAAATTTTATTAAAATTATTAAATTACTATTAAAAGAAATTTAAAGTTTGAGAAACAATTTTTATAGAAATTAAATAAATTTTATAGAAATTAATTAAACTTTATAGAAATTAATTAAATTTTATAGAAATTAAATAAAAATATTTTTAACTATTAGAACTAAATTAACATCAATTAAAAAATGATTAATAAAAACATAAAACTAAATTCCTATAACAAAATAGTTAAAATTTATTTAAATAAAATTGTTTTATCAACAAAAAAAAAAAACTAACAAAAAAAAACAAAGTGCGATCAATTAAGTGGCTTAATTTTCAAAATTTAAACTTTACAAGTAAATAAAATAAAAAGTATACACAATATTTTTAAAAAGTAAAAATACCACACTATTATGTTTAAACAAGCTCAGCATAAACAAAGAAAGACAATAATAATAAAAACTTAACAAAATTTTTATTAACTTTTTATAAAGTTATTATAAACTTATTAAAAAATATTCTTGTAAAGTTTAATATTTAGATAAATCTTTATTTAAATGTTTAAAATACACTTGTCTAGAATTAGCAGGTTGTCTAACTTTTTTAAAAATCCGTTCAAGGACTTAGAATTTAACTGAAAATATAATTATTGCTAGATTTATATCTATATAAACTTTATAGTTTATGTAGATATAAATCTAGCAATAATTATAATAATTATATAATTGCGTCTAGAGAATGACACGGGGACAGAAACCATTCCTGTTCCCACCCCATTCCCATATAAATTTTTCCAACCCAAAACCATCTGTAATTAATTTTTCCCAATCCCCAACCACCTCCATCAATAAAGCAAATGTTACAGACCAGTAATCCACATTCGAATAATAACTCATATATAAATATTGTGATATTGTGTTATTGCAATATTGCGTTATTATATTTATATTATGTATATTGTGTTTCTTTATATTTTAGATAATATAATAAAAACCTTACTACTAAATTACTTGTATTAGTCTTGATCGGGTCTGCAACAATTTTTATTATATTAACACAATGGATAAAAAAATATTCCAAAAAACTCTTCAAGAGGAACTGTCAAAGAAGAATACCTATATTGGAAAAGAATGCTAAAAACATATATCTTAAAAGCTAAAGTATTAGATACAGATAAATTAGATGTTTTATTTGTTCTATGAGGTGCTAAATCCTTCCCACTCATCGAGAATCAATTGAACTTTAAAGATGCTTTAACTATTTTAGACCACAAATTTTCAAAAAAAAACTACATCTATAATGATGTGTCACAAGCTAAGATCAACAAAACAACTTGAATCAGAGTCTGTCAACCAATTCATGGAAAAATTACAAATTTTAGTAAGAAAATGCCCCAAAAAACCACTAATTGCAAACGAACATGAAGAAATGTTAATAAGTGATGCATTTGTAGCTGCCCTTTTATCTCCAATGATTCATCAGCGCCTCTTAGAACCAACTAACGACTCACTAGAAAAACTTCTACTTACAGCAACAACTATGGAATTAGCAATCGAAGACACTAAAACTTTTTCTTTACCTTAACAACGTCCTATTTTTGCAGATACAAAACACTTTTGTATCTGGTGTGGGGGTCAACGACATGATAGGTCCCAATGCAATGCACGAAACTCAACTTGCAATACCTGTGGAAAAAAAGGACACTAGGCAGCTGTCTGCTTAAGTAACAAACTAAATCAAAACAACAGCATAAAACCAAAATATCTAAATAAAACACCAATAAAGGGTGCGGCAACAAACTGTGAGTGAAATAATGACATCAACCAATATAACATCCCACACACAGCCACAATCTTAGCTTCAATAAATCAAAAATCAGGTCTCATAAATGCAATAGTGAACGGAATACCAGTACAAGCCCTTATCGACACAGGCTCTGACCTATCATTTATCTCTCTAAATTTTATGTCTGAGAACAATCTTAACTTTAACACAAATATAAGGAAATCAATATGTCTTGCAGATAATTCACGCGCACAAATTATAGGCCAATATGACAGTACCTTAATAATAGTGAACCATACATATTCAACTAAACTCTTTGTAGTAAAACAGCTAGTATCACCTCTTATTATTGGTATAAACATTTTAATTAAACACTCAGCTCTAACACTTCATTTTGGAGGGAAACGTGAACCAATCCAATTCTGCCTTTCCCTATCTTCTATGAAATGTAAATTGTATGCAGATCTAATCAAGAAGAACACAACAAAAATCTCTCAGCATTTAAAATAGCAGCAAACAATTTTGGAGTGAAAATGAAGGAAAAGTGTAAGTTTTCTCAAACCTCACTCTATTTTCTTGGACACCTAATAGAAAACAGAACGTTGAAACCAGATCCCGAAAGGTTCCAGGCCTTACAACATTAATGTTGTAAGTAATTACAACTAATTGTCCACATCGTATTAGAAGACCACCCTCAAAGCTTAATTTGTAACAAAACTTAACTAAATCAAAACCATATATAAATATCTATTGGAAGGGCTGGAGACTGTGATATTGTGTTATTGTGTTATTGCAATATTGCGTTATTATATTTATATTATGTATATTGTGTTTCTTTATATTTTAGATTCAAGTCAACTATGTGATAAAACAAGACCACTGAAAAGAAAATTTGACAATTATTATGATGTTTTATTATACTTTAGTGTAAGAGAAGTGAGAATTTTTAAACAAGAAGTTAAAACAAAATACTTTAGTAGCACTTCCATTGTTTTATAAAATTTTACCGGGTCTACAACAAATATCATGTATTTTAACCATTTTTATCAATTCATAAGTTAAAACTGTTCAATAATATTGTTATGCATACCTATTCTTTGTTCAAACCATCCAGAAATAGCATATTATTTCAAGCCACAAGCCCTGCTGCCTTGCAGAGTGTGCTCTTCTTAGGCAAAGACTAGGAGAAATAAACTCCAACTAAAAATTCCCCTGCCTTGGGGCTCTTGGTTGAGTAAAGGCTAGAGATGGTGTCTCGATAAAAATACTCATCTTGGGCAGATGTTAACTGCATCCAGCGATTGTCTTGTAGAAGGCCTCCTAGGCAAAGACTTAAGGGGTAAGCAGAAAAATTCTGCTAACCAGCCTCGAACCCCTTCTTCATCTATTAGGCTGGCGTAGATGTAACCTGTGTTACATTGTTTCCTGCCTAGGATGATGAATGCTGGATCTCCTTGACTCTACTCATAGAATTTTGCTTATGCCTCCTTGATAATGGCTATGCAACTCTTCCTGTTATCTCCATATGAGGGTACAGCTCTAAAACTCAGTTTAATGGTTCTGAGGCCGGCTGGTAGTAAGGTTTCCCAAACTCTGTGGTAGCTCTCAGAGAGGCTGATTCCATCAACAGCTGCAAAATATAGGAGTATTAAAAGTGCCATGTTGCACATGGATGGTGTCCCTGTTAATGCTTTTGGTGTGCATTGTCAAGGCCACATAAGGAGCCCTATGTCACGGCTTAGGGTTAATTAACAGGACTGAGACAACTGCATAGCTCATTGATTAGGAGGCTGTGCTCTATCTATAAACGAGTCAAGTTCTCATTAAACCCAAATCATGACCAAAGTAAACAAAAATTAAAAACCTAAAAAACCATCCCCACCACCTAAATATTTTAATATATCTTTTACAAATATTCGCGGTCTACGAAGCAACTTTCCATCAGTTGAGTCTTACCTCCTGCAAAATTCACCAGACTTGCTTGCACTCAGTGAAACAAATTTAAATTCTGAAATTCCTTCTTCAGATGTCAGTGTTAATGGGTACTATCCTTTGATTCGTAAAAACTCAAATAGTCACATGCTAGGTTTAGGGGTATACATACGTATTTATTCCCCTATTTGTCGTGAAATCAGGTTCGAATCTTTTGACCATTCTTTTATGTGCTTTCGCCTAGCACCTCTTCACTCTATCACCTTTCTCTTTGTTCTTTATCGTTCTCCTTCTTCCCATGATTGCACTCTCTTAGATATTATCTCTGATCAAATTGACCATGCCCTCTCTCTTTACCCCTCTAATATTGTTGTTGTTGGTGATTTTAATGCCCATCACACTGAATGGCTTGGCTCTAACACCACTGATCCTGCTGGCACTAAAGCCTTTAACTTCTGCGTTTCTCAATCTCTTACTCAGATAGTTAACTTTGTTACTCGTTTTCCTGACAACCCTAATCATTTACCTTCACTCCTTGACTTATGTTTTGTCTCTGACCCTAGCTTCAGTTTCTCCCTTTTCTCCCTTAGGTGGTTCTGACCATGCAATGATCTCTATAAATCTTTCTTCTCGTACTTCTTTCTTGGGCTCACCTTATCATCGCACCACCTACTACTACCCTAAAGCTGACTGGGATTCCTTTTGTGATTTTCTTCGTGATGGTCCTTGGGCTGATGTTTTTTCTCTCTCAGCTGACAAATGCGCCTCCTACGTAACCTCCTGGATTCAGGCTGGAATGGAAGCTTTTATTCCTTCTCGTCGGTTTCAAGTCAAGCCTCATTCTACTCCATGGTTTTCTCCTTCTTGTGCGGCTGCTATATCCAATCGTAATCATTTTTTTCATCTTTTTCAAAAGAACAACTCTCTTGAGAACAAACGGCTATTTATTATTGCAAGAAATCGATGTAAAAAGGTGCTTTCTGATGCTAAACTCCATTATTCTCAGTTCACTAAATCTCGCATCTTATCGCAGAAGTTAGGCTCTAAAGACTTTTGGAAAATCTTCAACAGCATTGTTAACAAGGGTAGATCTAACATTCCATCTCTCATTCATGGGACTGATCTTGTTACCTCTCCCAGGGATAAGGCAGAACTGTTTGCAAAGAACTTTTCTTCTAATTCCACTCTTGAATCTTATGGACATTCTCTTCCTTCCATTCCAGTCCAACAGGTTGACCCATTGTTAGACATTCAAATCACTCCGGCTTCTGTTGCTAAAGTCATATCTCAATTAAACTCGTCTACAGCTTGTGGTCCAGACAACATTCCTGTTACAGTCTTGCAGAATTGTTCCCCAGAACTTTCTTTAATTCTCTCTTAACTATTTAACAAGTGTTTGACTGAGTCTTGTTTTCCTGCTTGTTGGAAAATGGCATCTGTGGTTCCAATATTCAAAAACTCTGGAGAAAATTCTGACCCCTCCAATTATCGTCCGATCAGTCTTCTTTCTGTTATTAGCAAGGTCTTTGAGTCTTTGATCAACAAATCCTCACATCTCATCTTGAGTCAAATAAACTACTGTCAGACAATCAATACGGTTTTCGATCCTCTCGCTCTACGGCCGACTTGCTAACTGCTGTAACTGAAAGATTTTATCGTGCATTAGATGGAGGCGGTGAGGCTAGGGCTATTGCTCTCGACATATCTAAAACTTTCGACAAAGTTTGGCATGCTGGTCTTCTCCATAAGCTTGCTTCATATGGTGTTTCTGGGAAAGTTTTTGAGATTATCAAATCATTTCTTTCTAACCGGTTTATTAAAGTCAACCTTGAAGGCCAACACTCTTCTTTATTTCCAGTAACTTCTGGGGTTCCCCTAGGTTCCATCCTGGGCCCTGTTTTGTTTCTTATCTACATAAACGATCTTCCTGACAACCTTTCATCTAAAGTAGCTCTTTTTGCTGATGATTCAACTTTATACTCCTGTCTTGACAAAAAGTCTTCTCTTTTTGATCGCCTAGAACAAGCAGCTGATCTTGAATCCAATCTCACTTCAGTAATAGATTGGGGTTCACAGTGGCTTGTGAACTTCAACTCTAAAAAAACCCAGTTGCTTACTGCAAACAACTACTGTAATATGGTCAACATTCCTATATTAATGAATGGCAATCCTCTTACTGAGTCATCCTCTTTACGTCTTCTTGGATTATCGCTTACTACTGACCTTTCATGAAAACCATATATACAATCGATTGCTAAATTAGCTTCTGTTAAGGTTGCTTCTCTTTATCGTGCTCGCCATTTCCTTACTTCTGATTCCATTCTTTACCTCTACAAATCTCTTATTCGTCCCTGTATGGAATACTGTTGTCATATTTGGGCTGGTTCTTCTAACGATTCACTTTCTCTTCTTGACAAGGTCCAAAAACGCATTGTAAATATTGTTGAACCTGGACTATCTGCTAAGCTTGAACGCCTTTCCCATTGTCTTAAAGTTGCATCTCTTTCTCTTTTCTACTAATACTATCATGGTCACTGCTCAAAGGATTTTCCTAGTAACTCCCAACTTAATAGTGGTTGCTTGCAGCCTTGTTGGTAGTGAATGCAAATAAAAATAAATAAATAAAAAAAAAAGCCATGCAGCTATGCAATAATTTCCATTTCTGCAAAAAATACTGCAGTAACTGCAGTATTTCCACAATTCCGATTTTCATGTCATTCTCTACTTGACACCCTCCCCTGCAATAAAGTAACAGAATGTAAATGACTCAATAATGTATACATCATTAAACCATTGCCCAAATTTGTGTTGATTAGTGCCAGAGAACATAAAAACTATTTTTTTAAAAAAGGTATCCAGCCTGTGGAATTAAGTAAATAAGGTCAGCAATTTTTTGCAGACTTAAACCTGTTTTAAATCGGCATCAGGCAGGAACAAAATTTTGAAACATGGTTTGACAAAACATGTTATTGATTAGCATAAAATTGACGAAAAAACAAATGCCAAGTTTGATCACTTTTCTTTCAAATGTCAACATTTGCTTAAAAATTTGAGTGTTTTGCTGATTTAATTTTAACTAATTTATTTCGAGTTAAAACAACAAGTTGGTTCATAATTGTTTATAGTTTAATTGCTTTTCTTACAATTTAAATACAATTTGGAAAGTTCTTCCCTTTTTTGTGTGTGTGTGTCATATTATTTTATTAAAATAAAACAATATCGAATTTAAATAAAATGTTCGCTTTGTCATTTTTATTTTAACTATTTTACAATTTAAAAAATATGTATGTTTTGCAGTTTTTGTAAATAAATTTATTCAGAATTTAAACAAAAGTTTTGTTTTTATTTTATTTAAGATTTAAATAAAGTGTTCGCTTGGCCATTTTAATTTATTTGAAATAGCAAATAATTTTAAGTTATAAAATTCTGAGGTTGGCAAAATATTGCTGACTTCAAACATTGTAAAGTCAAAAGTTAGGTGGACATTGGCGAATACCGACCCTATTTCTGAGGGCTGGGCATTAAATAATATACATAGATAATTTTTTTCCGGGAATTCCAGAAATTCACTTGAAATTCCTTTAATTTTCCAGAAATTTCCGGATGTCTTTTGTTATTTATTTGAAAAAAAATTTATATTTTTACATAAAATTTTATATAAGACAACTTTTGCATTTAAAAAAATATGTTTTCTATAATTAAAATTTTCAATTTTGATTAAACAATTTTTTTTTTTTTGCATTTTATTTCATTCAAATTAACTTTTTTAATTATTAGAAATTCCTTTTTGTAGAAAGTTAAATAATCTAAATTCCTTTTTTAAAAGTTTACAAAAGTTTTTGTTGTCTATTAATACGATCAGTTTTTAATAAAATAATTTTCAGGGATTTTTATAGAAAAAAATTCAAAAAGTCAAATACTCATCTATAAATATATCAAAACTATTTACATAACCATTGAAGTCTATAAAAATTATTTTAAATGTTTATGACATGAAATACTATTGTAATGTTCATAAAGTATTATTATGATATTTATAAAGAATTTTTTAATGAATGATTACTCACTGTAGGGATTTTAACTGTTGCTTTAAAAGAGCCAAACTCATGTTTGCCAATAGCACGCTTTTCTGTACTCCAAGATTTAGCAACAGGTAATTTTAAGTGACAAGTGACAATGTTATCCCAATCATGCTCTCTTAAAGTTTCTGTCATGGTAACATAAAAAGAAATTATTTAAAAAACATTTTTCAAATAATAAAAAATAGAACTTTTTTTAATACAAAACCCTTGTTATATAAAATATTATAACATTTTTAAAATATAAAAGACCTGCTGCTATGCAAGTGATTGGTGGAAGACGAAGAGCTTGCACTTTAACACCATGCTTTCCAGCCTTTTTAATTAAGGAGCCTAAAAAGTTGCAAAAAATCAATTTTTAAAAAAGTTTATTTGTAAGAGGGGGAAAACAATAAGAGGGGGAGAAAAAATGTTTTAAACCTTGTGAAAATTCATGACATTGCTCTCCTCTCATAATACTTGTAAAACGTAGTGTTTGATCCATACCTAAAAAATGTTTTTAATATATTAAAACATATTAAATAATGCAAACGTTTTTAAACTTAATTGAAAATTTAAAAACAAACAAACTAAAGCAGTTATACGTTATGTATAAAAGTAGAAATAAATATTTATTATTATTTTTACTTTTAAACATCTTTGCTACCAACAAGGCTGCAAGCAACCACTAATTAGTATTGGAAGTTACTGGAAGAAAAAAAGATGAAGATTGTAGAGCAAGATAACGATTGACAAACAACTTAAAAGATTGCAGATTATATGAATCGGGAAAGCAAGATGAAGGAAGCAAACTCCAAAGAACTGATGTTCAAGGAAAAAAACTAGAGGAATAAGAGTTTTTGAAGCACTTAGGAACAGTCACAAAAAAGGGATGATACTTAATTGAATGACATGTAACACGAGAATGAACTTTAGTAGATGGCACAAGAGATGCTAGCTTTTTAGAGCAGTGTCCATTATAGTATTTGTAGAAAAGAGAAAGAGCATGATTAGAAGATCCGACCCAGATATGGCAACAGTATTCCGTACAAGAAAGGATTTGAGATTTATAGATAAAGAATAGAATCAAGAGTAAGAAAGTGTCGAGCTCAATAGAGAGATGCAACTTAAACAGATGCTAATTTTGCAACGGATTTAATATATGGTTTCCAAGAAAGATTAGAAGTAAGATTCAATCCTAGAAGATGAAGGGCAGATGACTCATCAAGTACATTACTCAGGCTTGGTCAGGTAGCGGGAGCGATCGCTCTCGAATACTGACCACGGAAATTATATTTAGTTGCGAAAAACTGGCCAGGTTTTTTAGTCGTTTTGAGAACATTTGAGTTTATGTACGAAACAAAAAATTTTTGTTTTACATGGAAACATAATAAACTTGAATGTTCCCAAAACATCTTTGTGCGAAAGAATAAAAAGAATATTCGCGAACACTAAAAACCCGCCAAATTAACGAAAAAACTAATTCTATTGGTTCAAAAAATACGCTGACTTAGCAAAATAAAGTTCTTGAGTATTCTGTTGAAATGTTTTAAAAAATGTTTTAGAACGTTTTGAGATTTTTAGCATAAATTGTTTTAAAAATAAATATATTATTTGTTTACAAAAATAAAAGTTTTAAATATATATTAAATTGTCAAAATGTTAAAAGTTTATTATAAATTATAGATTTTATAAGTATATTCTTATTTTTTATTTGAAAAGTATGTATTCTTTATGTAAATTTAATTTTGTTTATCTGTTTTTTATCGTAATGTATCTTTTAAAGCAATTTTTACGATTTAAACATTACGATTAAGACTTACAAAAATAATTGCGTTTTCAATGAAGTTATAATCGTTATAGTTAATAAAACTAATTACATAACAAACATATAAGAAGTTTCTAGTTACTAAACACAAACAACGCGTACAAAGTAACTCGCAGATGAACAAGCATCGCGCCTAAGGTCACGACAGAACACAAATATATATAGCAAATAATTAGATATAAAGAAAAGTTACTAGATATTGGTTGACTAACTCTATTTTCGCTTAAGTTGCTATTCTAAAAACTTGTTATACTTTTTTCTGCTTTAAATACTAATTAAAATTAAAAAGCCCACTCACTAAACATCACCAGCGATATTGTGAAGCAATTTCGCTTCCTCGTCATAAAGTATTGTTAATAAAGTATAAGTTGATTTCTATATTGTTAATTTAATTTCTATGATTTAACTTTTTCATTTGTTTATCTTACTAAGAAGAATTGCTTCAAATATGTTAAACTTTTCAAACTACGCGAAACATAAAATAGGTATTGAAAAAATTAACTTTCTTATTTATAAAATAATTTAGCTAAAATAAAACTAAAACTTGCAAATTTTGTTAAATAAAGAATATTTGTTTCCTTTTTAAACAATTGTAAGTTGTTACTTTATATAAAAAAAATCGCTTAATTTTATAAAAAAAATTATAAAAGAGCGATATTTTGAAAATATTTGTTTTAAACGTAATTTATTTAGCTTTAAGTTTTTTCGCGTTTAAAGATATTTTATTTACCTAATTTTTTTTTTTTTTGTAATTGTCTCTCATCAGTCCAATTAATCTTAAGCGCTTTTTTTTTTTGCTTTTTAAAATGTTCTCAAAATGACTAAAAAATCTGGCCGTCTTTTCGCAACTAAATATTATTTACGTGGTCAGCAATCGAGAGCGATCGCTCCCGCTTCCCGACCAAGCCTGATTACTCTTCATAAATATAGGAAGGTCTAAATTATTGTGATAACGATTAGCTGAAAAAAAATTAAGTTTTATCTGAATTAAAGTTCACCAGCCACTGTGAGCCACATGCTGTAGAAGAAGTGAAATCCTTTTTAAGTTTATGCGGTAGTGGTATAGAGGTAAAACACTCGCTTTATAAGCGCGAGGTTCCGAGTTCGATCCCCACCACGTCCCTGGTAGTACTGCGCTCAACTTGTTTCTCCGCGCAGCAGCCTTGTTCGTCGAGATTCATGTTTTTGGAGTTATAGAGTTGAGAGAGGGTTATAACCACTATTAAGTAGCCTTCTCGCCTGTAGTGGCTTTTTTGGCCTTGAGGAATAACAACAAAAAAAAAAAAAAAAAAAAAGCTCAAATTTCCCCTTTAAGCAATCAGAGAGTTGGCTTCTTATCATGACAAGAATAAATAGTAGTATCATCAGCGAACAATGCCACCTTAGATTTGAGAATATCTGGGAGATCGTTAATATAAATTAAAAAGAGTAGAACCTTGAGGAACCCCTGAGGTTACATAATAAGTAGAAGAGTGCTTTCCATCAAGGACAGCTTTTATACTGCAATTGAAAAGGAAGGATTCAATAATCTTAAAGATGTTTCCAGATAGACCGTAAGAAGAAAGCTTATGGAGAAGACCAGCGTGCAAAACTTTATTAAACGCTTTAGAAATGTCAAGAGCAATGACCTTCAAGGGATCCCAAACTTCCGAGACAAGTTGTGTTCATATTAAAGAAAATGTTTAAAAAGAACATTTGGGCTTAATTTTTTTGATTAAAACTATATAATGAATGCACACCACTAAATTTAAAATTCACATTTTAGTCGAAGCTCGCCTTCTCCATACTTCTTTTGGTCTAAAGTCTATATAATGATAGCCGCAATCTGCAGACTTAATAATTTATTCCATGCATGTTAATTCATAACAGTTTTGGTATATGATGTCATCGTATAAATTTTTTTCATGATGTCGTATTATTTTTTTATCAAAATCACCAAATCATGTAAATTGTATAACTTTTTACTTAATCCCAAAAAAAGTTTATGATGCAATTAAAAATTAAATTTATAAAATTTATAAAAATAAAAATTTAATATATAACGTATATTTACAGTAAACGTAATGGTTTAAAATAAATATAAACTAGATACTAAAAGATTAATTTTACAAAATGGTATAAATTAATTTAAAGTATAAACTGAAAAAAAAAACGAGTGACTTGAATAAAACATATAAACTGAACTAAGTCGAAAATAAATATAAAACAACTTATTTTACTAATAACTGTTCAAATCAAACTAGATTAAAACTAAAACAAATATTTGTACTAAAATATACAAGAAATAGTTATAATATATATATATAAAAACAAAGAATTGTATTAAATTGTTCGCTACCAGTTGAACAAAAATCTTTTTGTAGCAACCGCACACTTTTTTGAATAACATTTGAATAGCATAACATTGACAATTAATAAAAATTCGATAGTAATAAAACTTTTAACATCATTAAACAATAAGAAATGCAAAGTGCTTAAAACTATTGCTTTTGTAAGTAGTAACTAAAATATTAAATCCAAAACAAACCTCATTTAATGAATATAAATAATATTTTTTCTTCAAAATACTTTGGTAATTACTTAACTAAATACTTAAGTGTTTATGCTGTTTTATTTTATAACTAAATTTAAAGTTTTTTTTTATGAAGGATTATTCAAGATTTTTTAACTTTTTTATAATTACACAATATAGCTCTTATTTTTTCTTGATTATGTAGAGAATTAATTAAACCTTCAGAAGAAACAAATTCTTTGTGTCTAGAATGGAAATTTATGTACAAAACAAGATAAATTGTTAAGCATACTCGAAAGCCGCTACCAGTGGCTTGCGGTAGTAGAAGAGTTGAACCATAACTAAATCTAAATTAAACATAAAACAAACAACTCTATGGAACTATATGAACTAAATATAAAACGAAAAACCGCATCATACTGTCTTTAAATGCCTAATAATCACAAAATATGTGTAATTGTGACATGATTTTGGCTGGCTTCTACAACAAAGTAATAATAAAACAAGTAAAAAAAAAAGCTTCAACTAAAAGGGTAATTTTAATTTTGTTGGTATGGGTTCCCCAACTGCCGAGACAAGTTGGTAACACAACTTGTCTCGGCAGTTGGGGATCCCTTTAACCTCTTCACCTTTATCTAATGCACGATAAAACCTATTGATTATTACTATTAGCAAATTATCTGTAAAACGAGAAGATCGAAATCCACAATAATCCATAATAAATCCAAAAAAAGGCAAGTCCTCTGATAAAAATAATGCAAAGGTTTTTATATTTCACTAAGAGTTGCGGACTGTTATGATTATATGGTCCCGTAAGACATACCTAGTGTTTTGCGGCTAAAATTACATACATTTTTGTATTACTCTTGAAAATTTAGCATGTATATTCAGTGTCTTGAAATTAAAGAAAATGTTGCTTTTTAGCAAAGTTTTCTTTAATTTTATTAAAATTAATTATTAACGTTGTTAATATTAAATATTATTATTATTATGATCAAAGCAATACTTAATCATTGATTTTATTTATTAGTATGTGCTATAGGTTGTCACTTTAAGTGCACAAAATTTGCATAACAAAATAAACGAAACACTCAGACACCATTGAAAGTCGATATATTTTTTTTGATCTTATTCATGATACTATTCAAAACTTTTATTTTCATTAAAACTGCATTTTTAAATTTTTTTTAAACAAATTTGGTTATTTTTATTCTAAAGCATAGAAAAAATGTAGCTGTACAATTTTTAGTAATTTATAATATTAAAGAATATAAAAATAATTTTTGTTTTGTTTTTAAAAACAAACATTAAGCTTAATCCAATCAAACTGTATAAATTTTAAATCCAAAAAAACAAACAAAGCTTAATCCAATCAAATTGTATAAATTTTAGTGAATTTATATTATATTTAGTTATGATGTCTTACTTATATACTTTAATGTTAAATTCCAGATTTTTTTAATTATAAACTCACCTCTAAAAGTAATTCAGGCTTTTTTTTTTTAATTTTATTTGGTCTTTGTTTTGGAATTAAGAATGAGAGTCTATCATCTACTATAGCATATATAGATATACATTTTAAAATATTTTCAGAGCAATAAAAACAAATCTAATCGAAAATAAAGTTAACAAAGAGCTAAATAGAATTTCATTCCAAAATAACTCAAGTTCTATTTAATTAGTTCTTTGTTAATTTTATTTCACTGAGGTACCTTAGTGAGATAAAATTAACAAAGATGAATCGGGAGATGAATTAAAAAAAAAAAATAAATTAAAATAAAAACTTTATCATTCTAAATAATAAAAAAAACCTGAAGAGTAAACAAGAGAGATCTCTAAAAATCTAATGTTTGTCAAAAAAAAACTAGACAAATAAAAAGTTCAAATCACAAAGAAACAATCACTGTTAAAGGATGTGATAATGGATGAAGAACTATTATAGATTAGTCACACAAGAAATAACTTGAAAGAACATTAGCTCACCCTAAACTCCATCCCCAAAGACTAGCAGATTGTAATATAAAAAAGTACCTGTTGTCAAAACAACATTTCCATAAGAACCATAAAATAAGGTACGAGTAGGTGGAGCACTATGACCACTGCGAAATTTGAACAATCGTGCACTACCATCAGGATTATCAAATATCCAAATCTAAAACAGATTTTTTTAAATCTAAAATTAAAAAGACAACTAACAGTAAATAAAACAAATATATATGACATGTAGATCAAAGTAAAATTAAATTTCCTATTCTGTAGGAAAAAAGCTCTAATGTGGTTACCAAAAACAAATAAGATAAATTATTTGCAAATTAGATAAATTATGCACTAAAGTCAAAAAAATGTATTGAGAAAAAAGTTTACTTTCAGTGAGTTATCAGGAGCAGAAGTTATGAGGAGAGGTTGCTTATGAAAAAACTTCATCCCAGTGACACTACTTGAGTGTGCTTTTTCTATCATATTGATTGTCTGCTTTTTTTCAAGATCCCAAAATACTATATTCCCTAATGAAGATCCTGATGCCATCACAGGAGTTCCATCTGTAAATATCATCAAGAAACTAAATTATTTTACAAACATAAGATTACTAAATATATTTAAAAAAATTATATTAAAAATATTTTTAATATATTATTTTAAAAAATCTTTACCTGTCCTAAAAGACAACGCGGTCACAGGACCATACTCTTGGTAAAATGTCATCATTGTAACTTCAAATTTAATATTTTCAAGAATAATTCTACCATTCTCTAATCCAATTGCAATTACATCAACAGCTGGAGCCTAAAAATTAAGTTGCAAACTATGTGAATTATTTATAGAATAACAGAAACTATGGCAGTACAAAACTTACAGTCTAAACTTTAAAACTTTCTCTATTATTGATTTTTAATTTTAAAAAAAACACGCTATTTATTAACAAATTTAAAAAATTCAAAAGATTTTAATAGATAAATATAATTACCTGTTCCAATACCATAACTGAGGCATTCCAACCTTTGAACTCATGAATCAATTTACTAAGCAATAATTTTTAAACATTTTTAGACTATTTTGAAATATTATTTTATTATATTTTATAGTTAATACTTTATAAGCAACCACAAAAACAAAACAAGAAGGGATGGGAGAGGTAGCTTATATTTAGCTCCATATTGAGAAATTTATGCACTACTTTTGGGAAAAAAATCAGTACATTTAGGGTATAGGAACTATCAATTTGGAATCCAGAGCCCTGATGTAAAATCGTAATAGCATGCATAAGTATTTAAACATTTTTTTAGCTCAAGGACATTAGAGAACAAGTAATAACTCAAGGGATAAGTCTTTTTTTTAGAACATCCATGTTAGGAAACATAGCCTGAGAATAATAACAGAATTGGAGTAAATACATACTGTATGTTATAACATGGTCATTATTGATAACATATCAAATAACTTTATCTAGGTTTACCCAACATAATTCTCAGATTTAAACAAACAAAAAATTGTATTGTCATCTTGGTTTGTCTAAACTTTTCATATTTAACACAATATAATTCAGTAAAAAACGAAAAAGAAAACTCCTGTTACCAAGTCTTCACATTCCATAACTGAAGTGTTCCTTGTTTACTACCAAACAAAACTTTGTTAAGATACGTACTCGGGTGAACACATGTGGTTACTGTGAAAAGGGCAGAATCCAGAGCAAATGAAACGTATGTTTCTAAAAAATAAAAAATTATAACTAACATTTAAAGGAAATTTTTTTAACTTAAAATCGATTAGAACTAACAAACTTGCATTGTCTTAATAAAAAAAAATTATTCTGACATTAATTTTTTAAATTATTACTTTTGCAACAGTTTTCTTATTAAAAAAACTTAAAGTATAAATAATGGCAAAATAAAATATATTATCATAAGTATCTATAAATTTGTCTTTTTAGATTGTAATTCTCTTGTTTTAATCTATGTTACATTACAATCTATGTCCTACACATATTTATAAGTTTACTGAATCTTTTTTTGACATCCTCAATAGATAAACATAGTCTAATCCTAAATAAAAAAACAAATAAACCAATAACATTTATAAATAAAAAGTTTTTTAAATAAAAAATAAAAAATTTAAACTTTATTGATGGATAATTTTTAATTCGAGGTTGTGTTTTGCATGATTTAAATGCATATTATAAACTCTACATATATCCTTTGTAAACCCTCCTTGAAAAGTAGGTTTCATTATGAAATCCATGGTTAACAAACATAGAAAAAATCCATGGTTAACAAACATAGACACTTAAACTTATAAAGTGTAGTAAACTATTTTAATCATAAAACGTTTTATCATAAAATATACAATATTTTTAAATATTTAATGTATATGCTTCTATTTGAATCAGAGAATTTTAAAAAGTTTTCGTTGTATTTTAATAAAATTTCATTTTAGAGTGTCAGCTAAAACTCTTTATCTAGCTGTTTTTGGTTCTCCTTTTTACATGTACAAGGTTTTGCTTTTGGAAATAAATCAGACCTGCTCCGATATAGAAAAGTGTATTCCCATATTTGATGAAACATATCCTTATACAAGAACATTGATAAAGTTTTAATTAACTCAATTTAATTAGTAACCACTAATTAGTGTTGGAAGTTACTGGAAGAGAAAAGATGAAGATTGTAGAGCAAGAAAACGATTGACAGACGACTTAAAAGATTGCAAATTATATGAATCAGGAAAGCAAGATGAAGGAAGCGAATTCCAAAGAACTGATGTTCGAGGAAAAAAACTAGACAAATAAGAGTTTTTGGAGCACTTAGGAACAGTAACAGAAAAAGGATGAGACTTAATTGAATGACGAGTAACACGAGAATGAATTTTAGTAGATGGCACAAGAGACGCTAGCTCTTTAGAGCAGTGCCCATTATAGTATTTGTAGAAAAGAGAAAGAGAAGCAACATAACGACGATGTGACAGAGGTTGAAGGTTGGCTGCAAGAGCAGGTCCAACTATGTTTACAATGCATTTTAGCACCTTGTCTAAAAGAGAAAGGGCATCATTAGAAGATCCGCCCCAGATATGGCAACAGTATTCCATACAAGGCCGGATTTGAGATTTATAGAAATAAAGAATAGAATCCAGAGTAAGAAAGTGATGAGCTCGATAAAGAGAAGCAACTTTAGCAGATGCTAATTTTGCAACGGATTTGATATAAGGTTTCCAAGAAAGATCAGAAGTAAGAGTTAATCCTAGAAGATGAAGGGTAGGAGACTCATCAAGTACATTACCTTTCATAAATATAGGAAGGTCTAAATTATTGCGATAACGATTGGCCGAAAAAAATGGAGTTTTATCTGAATTAAAGTTCACGAGCCACTGCGAGCCCCATGCTGTAGCAGAAGTGAGATCCTTTTCGAGCTCAGATGCCCTCTGCAAGCAATCAGAAGGAGTTGGCTTCTTATCGTGACAAGAATAAATGGTAGTATCATCAGCGAACAATGCCACCTTAGATGTGAGAATATCTGGAAGATCGTTAATGTAAATTAAAAAGAGTATAGGGCCAAGGATTGAATCTTGGGGAACCCCTGAGGTTACAGAATAAGAAGAAGAGTGCTGTCCATCAAGGACAACTTTTATACTACGATTGGAAAGGAAGGATTCAATAATCTTAAAGATGTTTCCAGATACACCGTAAGAAGGAAGCTTATGGAGGCGATCAGCATGCCAAACTTTATCAAACGCTTTAGAAATGTCAAGAGCAATGGCCTCAACCTCTCCACCTTTATCTAATGCGCGATAAAACCTATCGGTTATTACTGATAGCAAATCAGCCGTAGAACGAGAAGATCGAAATCCATACTGATGATCAGAAAGTAGGTTATGAGATTCGAGATGAGAGATTAAGTGTTTGTTAATTAAAGATTCAAAAACCTTGCTTATGATAGGAAGAAGACTAATGGGACGGTAGTTAGATGAATCAGATTGCTCTCCAGTATTTTTGAAAATAGAGATAACAGATGCCGCTTTCCAGCATGCTGGAAAACAAGATTCTTATAAGCACTTGTTAAATAGTTTTGAAAGTATAGACGACAGCTCCAGAGAACACTTCTGCAAGACTATAACAGGTATGTTGTCTGGACCACAAGCTGTAGAAGAGTCTGAGCAGGAAATCACTTTAAATACAGAAGCTGGAGTGATACGAATGTCGAGCAATGGATCAACCTGTTTGACGGGTATATCAGGTAAAACGCAACTAGTGGCATCAAGAGATGATATTGATGAAAAGTTCTTGGCAAACAATTCAGCTTTGTCTTTAGGTGAGGTGACAAAGTCTGAACCGTACAAAAGAGGTGGAATTACAGACTTGCCCTTATTATTGATACTATTAAAGATTCTCCAGAAGTCACGAGAGCCTAATTTTTGTAATGAAATACAAGATTTCATGATCTGAGAATAGCGGGTTTTGGCGTTAGACAAAACCTTTTTACAATGGTTCCTAGTAGTAATAAACAGACGTCTGTTTTCTGGAGAATTGTTTTGCTGATAGATATGGAAGTAATGGTTCCGATTGGCAATTGCAGCAGCACAATGTGAGGAAAACCATGGAGAAGAGTGAGGCTTGACCTGGAATCGTCGAGAGGGAATAAAGGATTCCATGCCAGCCTGAATCCAAGAAGTTATGTAAGAAGCACATTTGTCAACAGGGAGACGAAAGATTTCTACCCAGGGGCCATCACGAAGAAAGTCACAAAAAGAGTCCCAGTCAGCTTTAAGGTAGTTGTAAGATGTACGATGATAGGGGGATTTTAATGGTAAAGAAGAATGAGATAATAGTTTTAGAGAGACCAAACCATGATCAGACGCACCTAAGGGTGAGTGTGAAGGAACTGAACACTGACTAGGATCAGAAACAAGACATAAGTCGAGTAGAGAAGGTAAATGATTCGGGTTTGTCTGGAAAGCGAGTTGGAAAGTTGACTATTTGAGTTAGGGATTGAGAAAGACAAAAGTCGTGGGCCTTAATGCCTGCAGAGTCACTGACACTAGAGCCAAGCCATTCAGTGTGATGAACATTAAAGTCACCGACAACAACAATATTGGCTGATGGATAAAGAATGAGGGCTTGGTCAATATAATCAAAAATAACATCAAGAAGAGTGCAGTCTTGGGATGAGGGAGAGCGATATAGAACAAAGAGAAAGGTGATAGAGTGAAGTAGTGCTAAACGAAAGCACATAAAAGAGTATTCTGTGGATTCAAACCTAGTTTCCCGACAAATGGGTGAATTCTTACGAATGTAAATGCCCAGGCCAAGCATGTGACTATTGGAGTCTTTACGAATTAAAGGAAGATAACCATCAACACTAAGATCACAAGATGAGACAGCTGAACTCAAATTAGTCTCACAAAGAGCAAGCAGGTCTGGTGAACTTTTATTATCAATTAGTGTTTAATTAATAGTTTTTATTAACTAATAGTTTGTTTTTTTTAATTATTATTTTAATTAATATTTAATTAATAGTTTTTATTATCAATTAGTGTTTAATTTAAAACATTTTAATTTTTAAATAAATTATTCTTTTCATTAAAATCTGATTTTTGTTAAATTCCCCCTAACAAAAACCAGATTTTAATGTTTCATATAATGCGTAAATAGCTTAAACTTCATCATAATTTTTATGGGTCGATATAATTTTTGGACCTTGAGTAATTACTATTTTAACCTTTTAACTTTATCTATAACCCGGAATTAACTGGTATATAAAAAAAACAATAAATCAAAATAAGTAGGTTATTGATTGATCAAAGTTTTTTTTTAATATATGGTTTTTGAAGTTATATTTAAACTTTTATGTTACATTTTGTTCAGGTACAGAAATTATAGCAACAAATGTTTTAATTCTATGTAAATATAAGTTTTCACTATTTCTAAATTTTTGCTTTCTAATTTAAAAAAGAAATATTGCTTTTAATTTAAAAAACAAGAATTTGAAAAAAAAAAAAAAAAAAAAAAAAAAAATCAAATGCTTTTAACACTAGGTTTAAATAACAGATTAATTGAGTTAACATTGAAATTGTAGTTAGACTTGATTATATTTTATATTGTCAATCATTGTTATATTATTAATAGTTTGTATACAGATAGTTAAAAACTTTTTATGGCTTCTTTTATCACCTACACCTCAATGAGATGCATCATATGCATCCAATTAAAGTACTGATTTCTGATTTCCAGATCATAAAAAGGTTATGAAAAGGTTTTAGTAAAAGAATTATTTTAAAAACTACTTTTAATATATTAATTTAATATATTATGTTATACTCTGTCATTCAAACTAAAGTGGAACTCAATGTAAGTGATCTTTTTGCATTATACTTTTAAATAAAAATTTTCAAAACATTTAAAAAAAAAGTATCCTAGCTTTAGTTTTTTTAATTAAATATTAAAAAAAAAAAGTTGATTAAAATTTTTAAATTGTACACAAACTTTTTGTTGTGCAAACTTGTAAATGTTTATTCATTTTTTGACCATGCATAGGCCTAGAAGGTGCATGGCTTGTATTATCTATCAAAAAAATTAAGATGAAATGGTTTTATTCTAAACAAGCACATTTAATTATTATCAAGAATCGTTTCTAATATCATATCTATACAGCAAATAACTCTTGATTTTGATTACAAAAAAAATCACAATATTTTAGGGAAACTAATAACTATCAGACATTTTAAGAAAAACTAGTGATTATGTAAAAAGTAAAATTGAATAATTTAATGATTGTTTTAAAAAGGCAAGTAGATTTGTCTGTTTAATGTATCTGTCTAAATCAGGTATCAAAATGCTCAAAAAATTTCTTCAAATTATTACTATTACTACTTTATTTTACTTTATTTTGCAAACTTGATTTTTATAAAAGAACCTTTTTCAAAACTTATAAATCTATGTTTACAATTTAGAAAAAATCAGAACACTGAATTTAAAAATAAAGACTTACCTAAATTTTCAAGTTCCCAAACATTAACTGTGTTGGAACAATCAATAGAAACAACATGCTCACCAAGAGACAAAAGAGAATGTACATCAGATTGATGTTCAACATATTTTTTTTTCTACAAAAAATATGAAAGATAAAATCCTTTTTTTATTATAGCACATTGATATAATTGCTATAAATGATAGAATTGATAGATAGATTTTATATTATGCTACATTATTGATGATAGGTAATAATCTGGCTGATAGAATATCACTGATATGTTTCATACAATACTAAGTTAATTTTATAATAAAAGTATTATTGATAATATTATTCTTAAAATGCAAAACAAATTCATTTATAGGATTTTTCAAAATAAAAACCCTTACAGTTTTTCCTCTTTCAAAAAGATAGACATTACATCCAGCAGCAACAATGTGGGTATTATTAACAGAAATAACTGCAGCTATTTGCTCTGTTAAAGGCTCTCCTAAAAATCGTAACTAAATCATTATAACATAAACATAAAATTATTAAAAAAAAAATTCTGCTTTTAAAAAAATATTTTAAGTATTATATTTTATAATTATCATTTTGGCTTTCTTCACTTTCTCTAATAATTAAAAACAGTAAATGATAAAAAACAAGTAAAAAAAAAAAAAAAGATAATCGAACTTCAAACCACTTTGATGTATAAATTGGTTATTAGACTTCTATTTTTAAGCACTAAATGAATATATTTTCAGGATGAAAAGGATAAATAAGAAATTTATAGAGGTAAAGAATAGAATGGATTCTGAACTGAGATATTTTAGATAACCTGAGATCAAAGTTTAAAACATTGTTTATTTTCACAACTTGCTGAAATAATAGTTTGAAAAAAACTCTTTTCAAGCTGATAACTAACATATGATCATATACAATAAAAGAGAACGTGTTTAAAATGAAAAATCTTCTCAGAGATGTTATTAGTATGGATGTTATAATAGTAAAATAGTGAGGATGTCATGTTTTAAAAGCGTAAGAGCAGGGTGTTAACCAGCTTGATGGCACCGCGTATTACAAAAACTAAATTAAATGGATTAATTTTTTTAATGTGTAAATACGTGTCGTCATTAATAAGTGTCATTACATTAACATGATCATTCCTTCAAAAGTTTAGATGTCTACAAACATTTTTGAATACATATTTCCAAAGCGTTCTAAAAAAAATTCATAAAAATTATTAATTTTAAAAAGCGTTTCTCCTAATAATTAGGCCGGGTGAATAAAAATGTATTTAATATTGAATAAAAAATAAAAGGACCCTTTTTTTTTTTTTTTTAGCCGCACCTAAATTCCTAATTTCGCAAAAACGCAGTATAAAATTTTTTCCTGGGTAACACCCTGAAGAGCTACAAAGAATTAATCGATTTAGTATTGAAGTTTATAAAAACAATATATTTTTTTTTTTTTATTTGCATTCACTCCCAACAAGGCTGCAAGCAACCACTATTAAGTTGGGAGTTACTAGAAAAAAAAAGAACAGAGTTATAGAGCAAGGAAACGGTTGACAGAAGACTTGAAAAGTTGAAGGTTGTATGAGTCAGGAAAACATGAAGATGGGAGAGAGTTCCAAAGGATTGAAGTGCGGGGAAAAAAACTAGATGAACAAAAGTTTTTAGAGCATGCAAGGACAGATACAGTAAATGAATGAGACTTAGCTGAATGACGAGTAAAACGAGAATGAATTTTAGTTGATGGAACTAGAGATGATAACTCCTTTGAGCAGTGACCATGATAGTATCTGTAGAAAAGAGAAAGAGATGCAACTTTACGACGATGGGAAAGAGGTTCAAGCTTAGCAGATAGTCCAGGTCCAACAACATTTACAATGCGTTTTTGGACCTTGTCAAGAAGAGAAAGTGAATCGTTAGAAGAACCAGCCCAAATATGACAACAGTATTCCATACAGGGACAAATAAGAGATTTGTAGAGTTAGAGAATGGAATCAGAAGTAAGGAAATGGCGAGCACGATAAAGAGAAGCAACCTTAGCAGAAGAAAATTAAAATTTTATGCTATGAATACATATATCAAGACAGGTCATGATCACATACTAGTTAAGTTATAGAGAAATTTCCTTCATGATAATGAAATGAAAAAAAACATTAAAACTGTCAAAAATTATTGAGTCTGATTTTCCCACTTAGTGCTGCTTGTATGAATGTATAGAATGCTTTTTTCTTAGAATGAAACTTGTGAAGACTCACCTGCATAAGCAACCTCAAAGCTCTTCTATTGTCACTGAAGCACCAAAAGAAAAATTGTTATACATTTTGTGCCAATAAAACAAAAAGAAAAAAATTGTTCATAAATAATTTTTATTTTTGGTTTTTCATTTTTTTCATAACTTTCAGATACAAAAGATAAAAGTTGATAAAAAGGTAAAATTAAAAAGATGTGAGCCTTTTTTTCTCTGAACAAAACTGGATTGATTGATATATAACAATTTAATTAAAATATCTAGTATGCTGCTGTCATTTATGTTATATTTAAAATAAATAATTTATAAAATAAAATAATTTATCTTTTTAAAGTGTAAATATTTTAAATGTTAAAGTTTATATTCATGCATTATAAGGTATCACTAGCATATTATTGATAATTCCAATGAAGAGTTCACTAAACATAGGGAGGCATTGCACAATTAAAGTATAATTTTCAAAATTTAAGTTAGCAGCAATAAATACTATTAACTTATTCAAAGTCTTCTGGGATAACGCCGGCATTCTCTATAAGCAAAACAAATACAGTATTAAAAAGGTTACATGACAATAGAGGTTGTTAATATTAAAAAAAAAGCAGAAATTATGAAGAAACTGGTTGGTTATAGTAGAGACTAGATTAGGTTATAGTAGAGACTATTAAAGAGCTGAAGAATCTCATGACACTAGACCTAGTTGTTCTAAAGGTTATAAAGTCTCTTAAATGTGATTTTAATTATAATATTTAAAAAAAAAAGCAGTTAGGAAAGATACTGGATCAAATTCTATTACTCTTATTTTACCAAAAAAGATTTTATTTCTCAACCAATGATAACAGCAACAACAGACAAACTAAGTTATTAAATCCTCAACTAATGATGAAGTCTGCGATTCCAGTTCTAGATTGGTTTTTTATTAATAAAAATTATTGACCAACATTCATACTTTTATTTTCATTTTATGTAAGCTGTGTTAAACATGAGGATGTTACCATATACTAAATACCATAAAAAGATCAAGAAAACTAAATAAGCAATGAAAAGAATTTTAAATTAAAATTAAATCTGATTGATACTTCACTGAGAAAACTTTTGAAAAAACTCTGGACTAAAGTTTATTTATTTGTTTTAGTGGGTGGTTTCCCTAATTGCGTTAAAGGCAAAATACTGCCACTAAAACTCATAGAGTCCGGTACAAGAGTTTCTAACTTATCGATATATTAACAGCATCTTAGAAATCTTGAGTTTTCTCTTCTTATCTCAAAACTAACAAATGCCAACTAATAAATGTTGTTATTGGTGACTTTAATGCTCATCATCTGGTTTGCTCTAATATCATTAGTCTTTCATTGTTTACTCAGATAGTCTGAAAAAATATTTCTTAATTGTTAGAAGTAACAGCAACATCGTTGATCATGTTTTTGACCACTAGCAATACAGGAGTTAAGAATAAAGCTGCAACTCTTTTAGAGGAGTGCTAACTATAGAAAACTTTTCTTTGGTTGGCTTACCGTTATAACATTGTAGAACTGATCCTGGGAGCATTTTGGAACTCTTTATTTACAAATAAAATAAAAACTGATATTAATATAGATTTCAAAGATAAAAAAAATAGATTTGTTTAGAGAAGGTTCCTTTAAATGAAAGCAGACAAAATTGGAAACCTACTCTTCCATCCATTGATGACGACTCTTTCATAAACTAAGAGATAATGGTAAATGACTTAAACTTCCTCCTTTAGAATGGGAGAAAATAAGATATGATATTAAAAAAATTTAAAGGAGCTATCTGACGTCATACTGATTTAAGGAACTTTGAGGGCTTAAGTACAAAGAAAGATGGAAACTATTTAAATATGAAACATTTTATCAAAACAGTTGAGATTGCAAACAATGTTGCTGAGTGAATGAAAATGTGTCTTCATTTACTCAGCAACATTATCTTCAGATACAAAGGTAAAACAAATGTATTTTAAAAACACATTTAAAATTTTTATTACATTTTATATATAAAATCTAATTGATGATGCAGTATGAAACAAAATTATAGAAGTGGTTAAAAATCATAGAAAACTTGGTAATTTGAATAAAAAGCAAATATTCTCTAACTTGGTTTATCAAGAGTAATAGTTTTTTTCCACTATACCATGAAATATTAGTACATTAAACTGTACTAATATTTCAGGGTATAGTAGAAACCAAATTAGATGGCAACAGAATTATGTAACATTTGGTACTTTTTTTGTTGCAAACAACTTGTCCGATAAATACTTTGGTTTGGCAGACATATCCTACAAAACTCAACAAAAAAATTACTTTGCAATTCTGTGCATGTGATTCGATTATGTATTCCTGACTACGCATATAACTTTTTGTTTTTACGACAAAATCACAACTGTTTGCATATTTTGGAAAACTAAAGTGTTGCAAAAATGTGTTTAAAAAAAAAAGAAAATTAAAAAATAAGATTTGATATTAAAAAAATTTAAGGAGCTATCTAACGTCATACTGATTTAAGGAACTTTGAGGGCTTTAGTACACACATCAAATGATAAAGAGAGAAAATGCAAGGGATAAATGATAAAGGGATAAAATGCAAGAGATAAAATACTACATTGACTGAGGGTTTGAGTTAAGGCAAGTTTTTATTTTTGTTTTTTTCCTATTTTGGTTGTCAAAAAAGTTGACAAATATATATCTATATGCATCTTTGTAAAAAAAAAAAATATATATAAAATATCTAATGTTCATATAAAAATATAAATGTATAATATTAAAACTAACCAACGAAAAGAAGATTTAACTTTCCAGCCTAGAAAAAAAAGTCACATTCTTAATTTATTCATATAAACAAAAAATATTTTAACATGTGCACTACTTTTACTTATTTTTGTTTTCATTGTTAACAATAAAGATTTATAAGTAACACAAAAGCACCTGGAAAAATTTTTAAAAATTTAACTTAAAAATTAAATAGATATATATATATATATATATATATATATATATATATATATATATATATATATATATATATATATATATATATATATATATATATATATATATATATATATATATATATATATATATATATATATAAAAGAATCCATTTAACCACTAACAGTACATGGCCAACAACACCATTTTGTTCAATCGTTTATTGTTTGGTAACTCCTATAAATATTTTTTGTTCAAAAAATTTTTAAATCTAGTGTTATTTGATTAAATAAAACTCATTAAGGGGGTGCCAGTATATAATTTTCAAAAATTTTTTGAAAATTATATACCGGTTGTTTTTTGAACCACTATAATGCTATAAACAAAATGAATCAGTAATTAACCAATCAATATAATTAAAATAAAACAAACTGCCATTTTAATTACTGATTATATATATAGTTACAACATAGAATGATTCTGTTAGTATAGTTCCAAAATAGAACCTTTTTGTTAGTATGGTTACAAAATAGAATCTGTTAGGTTAACATATTAGAAGTAAAATAAGAGCAAAATCTAGAGTTTCAAATATTAGTAATACAGATATATTTTTCCGAGAATTAGTTAAGCACTTGTTAAATAATTTAAAGAACACTGCAGAGAGTTCTGAGGAAAACTTTTCTAAGACTGTGATCACAAGCTGTAAAAGAAATTAAAATAACTTTAGCAACTGAAGCTAGAATACTCTGAAGCTAGAATACAACTGAAGCTAGAATACTCGGATGTCTAATAATAGATTAACCTGCTTTCTGGGATAACAGGAAGAGTATAGTCATTAAATTCAAGATATAATCCAGAAAAATATTTGTATAATAGCACCACAAAAATTACAAAATGCAGAATTGTTCATTTACATCTGAGTCATCTGCAAAGATGCAAGTAGATAAATCAGTCATAAATCTTGCTTCATGATGAGCTCCAGGCTGTTTAAATAATAAGTTTGATAACTCAGCTCCTAGAAAAATACCAGAAACTCAAACATACTTTTAATCACCACTATGGAAAGTGTTCAAAAGAACTAGGATAATAAATTCTTTAGTTTCTAAGACAATTTTGAACAGTAATAAGCCAGCCCAAAAAGATAATTTGAGACTAGTAAACTTAACAATTTTTTCAAATTTGTAAATCTTAGTAAATCTACAGCAATAGATTTTGGAGAACTACTTAAAGCTTCTTTCTGGAACCACTTGTTGGATTAAAAACTTCTGTCATTATATAAGCCACATATATTTGATAGATGTAATGTCTGAACACTCAATGAAAGTTTTATAAAAAAAAATTTGACTTTTTTTTAAGCTCACTTGATTCCTTCATCACTTATTAATAGTCTCTGAAATTTTGGATAAAAAAAAAACTCAATACAAAAAGATATGAGCTGTTATATTTAGGAAACTAAAAAATTTATCCTTAAAAACGCCCACAGCAACCACATTTTGACTTATTTTTAGGTCAATAACTAGTCAACTTTATTTTTTTTTTTTTATTATTGGTAAAAATTGATGGGAATAAGTCACAATTTGAAAACAACTATATCAGGCTGTAACAGTTGTTTCAAAAAGTATTGTGCTGTGAATTTTAAGACTGTTGATTTTGTTTATATTGCAAACTCATTCGAAATTAAATTTAAATTAAGGCTAAGTGGGTAAAAAAATTTATAACAGGAAGAGAAAATTGTTTGAAATACTGTTTGAATAAAGAAAAGTTTTTTTACCACACACCCTGAGTAAGAGGAAGCTTTAAATAGGAATTTAAATAGGATTGCTTTCTTACTCTGGATTCTATTCTCTATCTCTATAAATCTCAAATCCGGTCTTATATGGAATACTGTTGCCATATCTGGGGCGGATCTTCTAAGGATGCCCTTTCTCTTTTAGAAAAGGTGCAGAAATGCATTGTAAACATAGTTGGACCTGCTCTTGCAGCCAACCTTAAACCTCTGTCACATCGTCGTAATGTTGCTTCTCTTTCTCTTTTCTACAAATACTATAATGTGCACTGCTCTAAAGAGCTAGCGTCTCTTGTGCCATCTACTAAAATTCATACTTGTGTTACTTTACTTTGGTAACATTTTTGGTAATGTTTCTGCATGAGTAACTTCCTTGTCAATCATTTAAACCTTGTCAAGCATTTAAAATGAATATTAGAAGTATTGTTGCCTCGCAAGAGATTGGTATGGGATTTGAAACCATGGAACGATTCTTTGCTTGCTTGAACATGAAAGCTTCCTGTATGACTCTGATTTCCCAACACAAAAATATGTTATCATTGATAGAACTTGGCAAACCCAAGAATATTTATTCCTTAATGGAGTAGTAACAACAATCATTGATAAAAAATGTGTTGATATTGAAGTACTATCAAAACTTTGCCATGGCTGTGTCTTTTAACTAAAAAGGCAACATCAGAATATTTAGAATGATTTGCAAATCATCTATGCCATAATAACCATGTTGCTTCTTTGGGTGCAATAGAATGTGCTAGAGCAGTCAAGATATTTAATTGCTCAATTGAAAAAATTATCTTAATTTAAGAGCTTTGTAACACCTTCTTTAAAGATGTCATTGATAGTGATCAGATAGTAGATCAGACATGTACATAAAAGAATGGACACTAGATTTTGTAAAATTGTTAAGAAAAACAAAAACACTACTCCATGGAGGCGGAAAATTAACCAAATCTGTAATTACTCTATGCAGAAATTCTATGGCCTAGCTATAAGATATAATTAAAAAAAAAAAGCTGTTTACAAGGGTTTTTTTAAACAGGTTTAACTTTTTACAACTTTACCTAAAACTATTAACCAATCTTGTTTGAAAGTACTTTACTAAAAAAGTGGTGTTTCCTAAATTAGCGCGTGTTAAAGTAAAGTTCACCCAAAGAAAAATAGTCTAATTACGTACATTATAAATATGAAAAGAAGCTCCAACAACTGTAGTAACAAAGTGTTCTGTGCCTTTCACTTCTAAATTTAAAGGAATATGATTCGATACAAAGCCAACAGCTCTATAAGGAGCAAAGATTTGGCTTTCTTTTTTTGTTACATTAGAAGTATACTTCACCATGTTTATATTAATACTCACGTGTTTAATTTATCGCGTCTCGCTTTACCATATTTACCGTTTATATTAAGGTAAAGCGCGGAATGCGGAAATTTTCCGCACTTTAACCAGCTGTTTGTTTTTTCAGAAAAAGAAGAAAAAATAAAAATGACAAAATGTAAAAAAACTTTTTTACTCTATAAAAAGTCTTACGTATCTAGATAGTACTTGTTTGAACCCAAACCCTAAGTAAGTGCCTAAATATCGAAGCCAAAATATTGGCTTTTCGAGTATGATGCCATCAATGACGTTACAACCCGCGTAGGTTGTAACCAGAGGCGATTTTACGGGATGGAGGGGTTCCACCCCATCAAAGTAGGCGATTTTCAAGTTATTGTCGGGTTTTTTACAAACTTAGTCAGGTAGTCGGGTATTTGACATAATTCATTTGGGTAAATTTAAGTTTTGATGATCTTTTTTTTTAAAATTTAAAATAATATTGTTTGTCCACTACTATTGCGTTTTTTGTGTCTGTATAAAGTGTTTTGATTATAAAAGTTTAAATTTCATTAAGGTCATCACTAAATAAATCAGCTCATTACTGAATAAATCTCATTTTTTATTAAATAATTAAACAAATTAACTTGATTTTTTTAGATTTCAATTATTTTATATCAATTCAGCATAGCTGTAAATGTTTTCAAAATCTATTTTAACAAAACTTTAGTTTGTGAGTTATTTTATTTAGGCTTAATTAAGAGATTTAACCTTGACAATGGTCTCTAACAACTAACTTGGGTTTATAATTGATTTCCCTCTTTGTACTAATTTAAGTTAATCGTCAGATTTAGTTAATCAGGTGTTAATTTTATCCAATTTTGTTTGCCTAACGTTTTTATGATAAAAATATGCGTAAGTTACTCAAGTTCTATGGTTAGTCAGACAGTATCATGTGATAATTTCTTGAGGTGTAAGCAAAGTTCTATACTTTTTGTATTGCCCAAAAAATATTTTTATTTGCAAAGCTTAATTTAACTTAATGGGGGAATTCTGATAGTAAAGAGTCACTTAAACTGTAAGAGTGGCTTAAAAACTGTAATACCGCTTTAGTTTTCCCGATAGCAATCATTTAGATCTTCGAAATTGTTTAAAACACATTTAGAACGTAACTTTTAAAAACAAATGCCCGTTGGGAGGGATGTTACTTCTAACATTGAGAGTATTACAATTGATGAAGACTTACATGTAAAGCTACATATAAAAGGTATTCCAATTCCATTACCTAAATGGATTCGAGAAGGCAGTGTTTGTAAATTGCCAGTATGCTTGTTAATTTTGTACCGTCAACTGGGGTGACTTCGGGCAGCGGGGTAATTAAAGACAGAGCATTACTTACTATTCTACTTCAGTTTCTTTTAGCAATAGCGTGAAACTACATACCTAAACTAAATTTAAAGGTATTGCATGGAACAAGTTCTAAAGAAAATATAAAAAAAGCTATAGAAGATCACAGTAAAGGCATGAGTATTCGAAAAGCTGCTGATAAATATAAAGTCAAAAAATCAACATTGCATGATCACATTAGAAAACCCACCTTAAAGAAGGTTAGAGGCCAGACAATTATAAGCAAAGCAGATAAGGTAATAATTGCTCAAATGTTAGAAGTTGTTGCCGATTAAGATTTTCCTTTTGGAAGATTAGAAGTCAGAATGATGGCTTTTGATTTCTTCAAAAATCGTAATGGGTCAAACAGTTTTAATTTGCAGATACCTGGAAATGACTGGTTAAATTCTTTTATGAAACAAAACACTATTTCTGGCAGAAATGCTTCTAATATTAAACGATCGAAAGCAAAGTTAGGAGTAGAAATAATAATTAATTTTTTGATGAATTTGAAAAAACTTATGAATCTCTTCGATGAAACAAACCTTTCAGATGATCTTGGAAAAAAGTTTATTTTAGTTCAAAGAGGAAGACGACATGTGGAAAACGTTCAAGAACATAGTAAAATTTCAATAGATGTACTACAACCACCTATGGTAGTTTAAAGAGCATCGAACGTTTATAAAGGTTGGGTAACAGGAGCGCCACAGGGAACAATATACAGTTGTACAAAACCAGGTTGGTTTGATATGGTGAGATTTTCCAAGTGTTTTAAAACATGCTTTTTACTAAACGTTCAACATTTTAAATGGACCCAAGCTTCTTTTAGGAGAAAACTTGGCCTTTTATTTTAATCCAAACGTTATTAAACTTGCTAAGGAGCATAATGTTTACCTCGCTAAGTTGCCACCAAATGCCTCACATTTAATGCAGCCATTAGATGTATCTATCTTTAGTCCAATGAAACGTTGTTGGTAACATGTACTATATGAGTGGAGAAAACAAAGCAGAAAAACTATATGCTTTCCCAAAGAACATTTTCCAGCTATACTGAAAAGTTTATCAAGTTGCAAAACACAGTGTATCAGAATTTGGGTTCTGGTTTTATTACATGTTTTCAATAAACCGTATAAAGGTTTTAAAAAGAACTCCTGGTTAGAAGGAACCTGGTATATCAACAGCATCTATTTTAAACGATTTGGTTACAACTTTGCTAATGTCTCATTGTGGTGCATAAGAAACAAAAAAATCCAGGGGTAATAAGTTGAACGTTGCATCTGGGGCAGTTTTAAACGTTGTTGAAGATATTGAAGCTGAACTTTGTTTCATCTGTGGAAAAGAAGATAATGACAAAAACGATGAAATCAGTGAAGAAGAAGAGGAAGTTTTAATTGATTCCACTTGATTGCGAACTTGTGGTTGTTGGTGTCATTCAAAGTGTTTGGAAAATGCCATGTCGACTGATTGCATTGTATGCCCAAAACTATAAATTATTTTAATGGACAATGATTTGTATATAGTTTACTTTTAGAGTTGTCAATAATTTAAATAAAATAAGAAAGATTAGTAATTGATTCTTTATAATTAATGATGGTAGCTGTATCATTAATCATATGTATATTTGAAATAGTTTATCAATAGTTATTTTTTTTGTTTTGTTATTTAAAATAAAAAATTATTTGCTTAATTAAAAAATTTAAATTTTTATTAAGCAGCTTTTTTACATAGTTATACATTAGTTTTAAAATTCTTGATGTCGAAATTTCAACTTTAAAAATCTCAAGCTTCAAGTGTCCAAAGTCACCCCATTTCCCAATTTTTTATTTTTGAACCGTTTTTTTATGCTAATGACATATAAGTAAGCTGAAAGTCAAAATTTCTTCATGCTCTTTATAATTACATAGGTACGTTCCACAAAAATATTACCATTTTATATTAATTTTAATGAAACAGTTTAATATTTGCATTGAAAATTGTCCGAAGTCACTCCGGTTGACGGTATCTTATATGCATAAAGTTGCAAAGAAGGTATCAAAAAGTGTATTATCAGAATTGTATAAATTAGCTCTTTATAAACCACAAGGGTGTCCAATCTACACATATGAAATAATTAGTTTTTCTTTAATGCAAAGATATACATCAAAACAGGTATATACTTTGCTCTCAGAAGTGTTTCCACTTCTTTCATCGTCATATTTAAAATCACTTTCAAAAGGTGGCATTGATCCAATATCAGAATTATTATTACTTTTGGAAAATGGTAGTGTTAGTGCTGACTGTATTGTTTTAACTGATGAGATTTATTTACAAAAGGGTGTCCAATATAACGGAGGAAGTTTGATTGGTGCTAATTGATGATGGTAATTTTTATTTTACAATTGATGATGGTAATTTTTATTCTGGTATAGACTATACCAGAATAAAAATTATCTTCATCATCAGCACCATACTATAGATCAACAACTATACTATAGTTGTGCTCATGGTAGTTAGCTTGAAAGAATCAATCCCGTTTTGTAATTAAGGCCTGTCCAGAGTTTCAAATTTCTGGTTCTATGATTAGTTCACATATAGAAGAAACATTAGAAATTTTATATAAAGCATATTTTAATGTACGAGCTGTAATAACTGACAATCATGCAACAAATATTTCAGCCTTCAAGATTCTACGTTTAAAATTTGGTGAACAAGATAATGACATATTTTTTACACTTATGTGTTTACAATTTATATGACTGTTCATTTATTATAAAATATAAGGAATAATTTATTGAACTCAAAACGAACAAAAATTTCCACCTTTCGATTTCATTGAGTTTGATGATGTTATTCATGCTGAAGCTGAAAAATTTTCTTGGAATTTATTGCATGTCTATGAAAAAGATGAATTGTTACCCGCTAACTTAAAAAATGCTTTCAAATTATCTACCCAAACTTTACATCCAGGAAACAACAAACAAATTGTTTCTTTAGCTTTAAATACTTTTGATGAAACCACCTCTGCTGCAATCATCAGTTATTTTCCAAATGAAACTGCAGCTGCTGGATTTCTAAAACTTATCATTATTTAGTGAACTATTTCTAACTCAATGGTAATGTTTAACACAAATAATAAGATTGGTAATGCAGCTATTCCAGGTGATAAAAAACCACAGTTTTTTCGAGATTTTGTAACATGGATTAATGGATGGCAAAAGTTGCAATTTAAAAGATGTAGTAAATATAGTTTATCTGTTTTAACAACTAATGCATTAACTACAACACTAAAAAACAACTCTGATGATGGAAGTCTGATGATGGAAGTCTGATGATGATGAAGTCTGTCTGATGGAAGATTTATTTTCAGAAGGATATAAGTATGTTTTAACTAGCAGTTTTTAAACTGACCTATCAGAAAGACGTTTTAGTAAATATCGACAAATAATAAGTGGAAGATTTTTAGTGAGTTTACGTGAAGTTCAAAGCTCTGAAAAGATACTATGCATCCCTCATTAAAGCCAATATCAATAGTTGGGTAAGCAATCTGAAACCTCATACAAAAATTGACAAAAAAAACTTTTTAATAAAATTGGAAAAATTTAGCAATGACATTCAAGAGAATGAGCTGTGTCATGACTCTTTCAAAGTTACCATTAATGTAGCTGGTTACATCACAAAAAAGATTG